GATCGCCATCAACCGCATCTTCACCGCTAAAATCAGACCTTGGAATAACTTTAAAATCGTTACACAGTAGGCAAGAGTACTCAATGTGATTCTTTCACATGGATCTTTGACGGAACGCAGAAGAATGCGGATGACGTTCACGATACCAGCGCAATGAAGCTAAGGGAGAGAACAATTCAATTTGTCTATTTATGAGAGAGCAGGAAGAAGAAGACGACGAAGAATAAGAAGAAGAAGAAGAAGAAGAAGAAGAAGAAGAAGAAGAAGAAAAAGAAGAAAAAGAAGAAAAAGAAGAAAAAGAAGAAGAAGAAGAAAGGAAACCCACAAGAGCATGGTCTGTGTGGATCTTACAACATAGACACAAAAGGCCTGGTCCTGGAAAGCACAATCAGACCTGCAACAGGCAAACCCACAGGGAATCAATGCAGGTCTATGCAGGGGACCGAATCTCCACACCAAACGACCGAGATCTCGGGATCAAGATCGAGATCAATGAGGATCGAGTCATCAAATGCATGGATACCCAAAGGGAGTATATACTATGAGAAATGGGCCTGCTAGCAGTTAGGACCTATCATTCCGTGACTTGGCTCCAACCAACATGTCGCGATCTCCGGGGCTTAGTTCAAGCTTCGAATTAGAATTTGGCATATCCGCAAGGAGTAGCGCACAGGAATATGCGGGTTTTATTCTTGCTACTAGGTCTGCATGATCGTGATATATGCCCTTAGGAGTGTCTATGGTATAAAATTACCCCGCCTCGTAGCTCTGTTTCTCCCTGTCACTCCCACGTCAGGTAAAACTTCAGAGTCGGGTTCAATTTACCGTCATGATAACCTTTCTTATTATACAAATCATTTTGGCTGCTCTGGCATTCTTCCTCGTGTATCAAACGAAGAGTCGGAAGAAGACTCGACTGCGCTTTCCTCCCGGGCCGAAACCCCTCCCTTTGGTGGGCAACATCATGGATCGTCCCCCAAATTTTAATAACCTTTTTAATACTTAATATTTAGATCCTAAATTTTAAACGTAGAATAATCAATATTAGATAAAGCTATATATAAAATATTAAGATCTAAATCCTTCTAGAAAAAAAAGATATAGAACTGGTATTCGAATACAGTACATAAAATTTATGAAAGATTATGAAAGAATTATGCCAAAATGGGTCCAAATGGGTCGAAATGGGTTACCCATTTATAACCCACTGGGTTTTGGGTTGGGTTGGGTTCTAGCTACTATAACCCAAAACCCAGTGGGTTGGGTTTTGGGTCGGCATGTTCAACCCAAAATGGGTTATGGCGATGTCTAATTATAACCCTAGCTAGTCTTCTATAATAAGAAGGACGAGAACAAGGTCTATAAGATTAATAATATAAAAGACCTTACGATCTGGATAAAGGATAACCCTAAGTTTGTATATAATACTATCCTTAAGAAGCTTAAATTCTAGACTAGAGATTGTAAGAAATACTAGAAGAAGATAGCCTATAACCAAGAGAAACTGGCTAGGGTCTAAGACAAGACTAATCTAGCTCTAGAAGACCTAGAATAAGCCTGTAAGAACCTTAAGGAGTAAGATAAGGAAGTTGGAGAGCAAATCTAAGCTGCTAATAAGAAGGCTGAATATCTTTAAGAGACTCTTAATAATCTCTAAGCTGATAAGGTTTGACTAATTACTAAATTAACTATATCTGAGTGTGAAGGGCTGTAGCGACAACTGTTCAATTGGGGCTAGGCCTGCATGCTGTTTACAATAATCTTGAAGAAGAGTTATCTATATGAGCTTCCACCTTGTTTTCCTGCAGGAAACGGTCACGTGACACCACGTGATATCTCCTCGGCCTGGGCCCGTTACAGATACCCGGGTATCTTATAGACCTGAGTAGCCTGAATTTGTAGACAATTGCCTGTAAAGTGATAATAAAGTAACTTAAATTCGACTCTGAATGAAGGGAAATTGAAAAGTGGGTTATACTACCGCACAATTTAAAAATATATCTTGATTGAAGAAATTAAAACACTCTTCACGATACATCCTATTTATTCCGATCTTTCAACTTCGATGACTAATAAATTAAAAAAACTTTTGTTCCTTTATATACCATTGGGCCCAAGGTATCATGACCTGCTAGTCTTATTTGTATGTGAATATCAGCTTATACTAGATAAGCTGCTGAACAAATAGATCAAAGACAACGGTAAAAATTATAGCCAAAGAACTAATCTATACCACAGTTCTAGAAAAAAGATATCAATATCTAGTTAAATTATAATAGTTACGATAGGTTACTTACAGTTCTCTAATATCCTATAGTAGTTTTATACTGTTAAATAGACCACAACTTATAGAGTTAAATATAGCGAAATTAATCAAGTGATATACTTCAGTAGAGAAGAGAATCTATTTCTACTGACTAATAGACCCTGCTAATATCAGTATACGTCTAGTCTTTATAGCTGTAGATACTACAGAGATAAGAGTATTTAAGGTAATATTATACTAGAGGAATATTTCTTTCTTATTAAAGGATGTTACTTTACGTAACTTGTATGGCACGGCCGTGGCAAATTTAGCCGGCACAACGCCCTGCCGAAGAACTGACAGTCCCTAGATAGGTCTGGTTTCGGCCAAGGCTGGCTCATCGTCCATTGCGGCTAAGCCTTAAACGCCCCAGCAGGCGATACTAGTGCTCGGATACCAACAAAGCGTAATACCAAGTCCAATTATACGAGTGATTAGAACCGAGCAATAGAGAGTGTTTAATAGATGCAATGCCCGTCTTCTCCCCGGTCATTCCAAGTACACCCTGATTAGACCTGTGCAAACCCATAGGCATGCCCATGGGCGTATTTGGGTATGCCCATTAGTAAACCCGCCCATTCATAGGCGTGCCCTGACTGCCTATAACCCGCCTATAAGTGGGGCAAATAATAATATTATTTGATTTATATAAAATATAGAGATTTAGGCTATATTTTCTAGTATTGCTGCTGTATTGATCCTAGAGGAATTCTATACTGAATATTTTAGATATCTTTATAATAAAGGTTACTAGAATTAATCAAATTAAATGTAATTAAATTATAAGAGACTGTAGATAATCGATAGTACCTAAAATAATAATACTAAGGCTAATATATACTGTAATGGGGATTTCCGCTCTCAACATCGGTATCCTAGGGTCATGTGACAGAAGCCTTAACAACAAGGCTCCCGTTTTGTTTCGGGAGAATAAGTAGCGTTCGTTCTAGATTATCAATTCAACATACATGTTCCCCCTTTTATGGAAACGTTCTACTGAGGCTGCTCAGGTTGCAGTATCGATATACTGCTTATGAAAGGTTTTGTTATTTGTTCTGTCAATCATCTACAGCGTCACGCTTTGCATATCGTCTCCTTGCACTCTGCGAGTGTGGTAGTGTTGTCTCTTCGCAATCGACCCGTCTGCCAACGCAGACAGCCTACGAGCATTCCCATCTTACAATACTTAATAAACTAGAAAAAAGAATCCTACTAAGGATAGAGATTATATTTGATGTAATAAAAATAGGAAGCAGATCTATAGATCTTCCTCTTAAGCTACTCTATCTTTATAAAGTAACGATAATATTCCTTATAAGCTTTCGCAACATATCCATTGTGCCTAAAGGGAAATCAGTCACAACGATCCATAGCGTCGCGGACAGAAAGAGCGAATATTGGACTGGAACTTACTTCAGATCACAGGCGAGCCAAACTGTTGAGAAGGAGCCCTCGCCAATTTTCCGAATGACCTTGTACTGGTCGCTGAAGATATCGCCGAGAACGACGGGGTGGTAACCACCTGGGCGATAATCCTCTATCCACTCACAGGGTGAAGTAATGCTTTTGAATCGCCCCCGTTCGCCAGGCAGTCAAACCGTTGGTGGCATTGTTGGAGGATACGAGGTACCCATGGCTGTGATGGGGAGTTGTCCAAGAGTTCAAGTTGTTGATCGGAGTATTGTGTAAGAGACGGAGGTGATGGGTGGTGATGGGAACAAGAGTGGACAAGCTGGATAGACGCGCCTAATGAACGTGGAGCTAGCCTTGTTGGGTACTAGCGTTGTCTGACTAAGGACATCGGCCAAATCTTATTGGCTGTCAACGGCCTGGTCTAACCGCCATGGGAAGTATGGGAAGTATACAGACCAGCCTTGTCGACCTCTCCAATCTCAGCCTTCAAATGGCAGACTCGTACCTACCTTACGGTACCTGGCGTGGAATGGAGTAGCTAATATATTCTAGCCTGGGTAGGTACTAGTCTGCTATTAGAAGACAGTAACTGATAGTAGACAATGGGGAGTTGGAAACTTTCGCAGTGCTACTGTAGACATAGATTGAGTATATCCAAATTTGTACAGTATACAGTACACAGATTCTGTTTAGCAATGAATAGTTACACCTGCCTTGCCGAAGCCTAAATAATCACGCATTGTTAGGGCTGTGGACTGTAACCTGTTACAATAGACGTCCTGCCATGAACAATAGGTAAGTGTAGGCAGGCATCCAGGACAATAGAGCGCACCTTCCAAGTCATCCAAACACAACAGCACAACAACACAGCCCGCGTCTTCTTCCAACTTTGAACCTCATATTACACCACCTCACTTCTTCCTGAGCAAATATCCCTGGTCTTTCGTCCAACCCTCATTCTGCGCCACTTCACTTCTTCCTTCTCTAATATCCCCAGCCTTTCGAACAGCCGAAGCTCAAGCTACACCATACCACTTCTCTCTGGGCAAACACAACCTCACTTCTTCCTGATCGAACATCCTGAGCGAATACCCCTAGTCTTCCATCCGACTCGAACCTCATCCTACACCACTTCACTTCTTCCTGATCGATCCTTCCGAGAGAATATCCCCAGTCTTTTGTCCAAATACAACCTTCCTGGGCGAATATCTCCCGTCTTTCGACGAACCCGAAGATCAGTCTACACCACCTCACTTCTTCCTCAAACATAGCGCCTAGCATCATGGCCATGGAAGCCAAAAATGTCACTTTCGACCCCGCCAACATGTACTCCTCGAAAAAGAAGGCCAAGGTCCAGGAGAAGGAGGCTATCATCAAGTTGGTGTTTAGCCAAGCGCCAGCCGGTACTGTGCGCGCAACCGTCATGTGAGTACGTCGTGTCTCTCATATCACAACCAAGCCGTAGTTTTTAGCAATGGCTGGCACACCAGCCCTAGCGACGGACGGGTGCACTGCACCGCCGATTACTATGACGATGCTGGCGATGTCATCCGCCGTGAACACATTGTTGAAGAAGATTGATTCCCTGATTTCTTTTTTAGAGGGGAGAATTTCGATGTTTCTAGATCTTGATGTATTTAGCAACTGTGGGAGATCAAATGCTACGGGCTTTCTTTTTGATCTCAGCCCTGGGGTGTAGTCAAGTTCAACTCGAAGTTTGCAACCTATGGTTGAACTATCTTAGTCTTTGCCTTTGAATGGTTGGCACACTAGTAGCTACCCGAGATGGAATACTAGTCGATAGGCGTATTGATTAGTTATATCTTAGGTAGCTACCCAGTCTACATTTCCAAGATTGTCAATGATCGTGGGTAATAGACGGTTGCACACTGAGTTCAAGTTGTATCATTGTATACTGAAATTTGTAACCATAGGAAAAACATACTAACCTCCAGGCTGAATATAAATTCAAAGAAGGCCCGTCCATTGAGCAAAAAGGGCGGTCTAACTAGCACCACTCAAGTATGGCACAACATCAAATTCCAGTCACGATGAATCTCATCCGATTTAAACTTGAATGCATACGTCCATGCTCATATTCTACAGAGCACTAGTACCAACCTGGGCAGTATTCATTCAGAAACCTTACAACGCTCAAGGAAACTTGAACTTGAACTTGAACCGGAAGAGAAGAGAAGAAGCGGTATATCACGAGCATGTGCATAAGCCCCAAGTCAATAATTGTACATACAAACAACCACGCATAATCAAAAGATACCAGTAAAGTAATAGGAGAGGAATTCAATCAATCCCCACATCACATCGCATCCGATCCATCCATCCGATCAATCCCATACTCAAAACAATGTCGCGAAGCACTCACTCACTGACTCACTCACCCAACTTCCTCCCTTCGCATCTCCACCACAAGCAAGACAACTTATAAGACCTCACCAACAATCTTAGCAGCCTCCTTATAAGTCTCCAACAACCTCTCACACTTCTCCCTCTCAGCTTTAATTCCATCATCCTCGTAAAGCAATTCGCCAAAGAGATCTTCCTTGTATAATTCGCTGACTAGTCGATTCTGAACAACGTCCTTGCTGTGGTTTACTAGCAGGTGCATGATTGCTTTGGGGACTTGGTCCGCGATGGTTTCGCGGACGATGTGGAAGTAGGAGGAGATTAGGCGGCGGATTAGTTCTGTTTCTAGCATTTCTCTGTCTGTGAGGGTTGGTTCGGCGTTTTCGTGCGGCTGGCGGAGGTTAGTTATGGGTGGGTTAGGGTCTAGGGATAGGGAAGAAAGGAAAGGAACTTACAAAAGTAGACCCATCACCGCCAAACTCGATTGGAGCCGGATACTCCTCAGCCTGCATGGGTGGAGACCGCATTTCCGAGCGACGCAGGCTCTGGCTGATAGTAGGCTCAGCCGAGTGTGCTGATCGGTTGGACACGGGTGTACCGGTACCAGCACCAGCACCAGCACCGCCGTTGCTGAAGAAGTAATTCAAGAAAGAGTCACGGGTAGAAGGTTGACCACCGAAACCAGCCGGGTGATTCTGACCATAAGTGCCGTTCAAAGTCGCCGCGATACCATTCTCCGCGCCCCGACCGACATTAGGTGACAAGCTGCGTCCACCCTTTGTCGACTGGCTGCGGATAGGGAGGTGATTCTTCTCGGATTGGGCGTCTTCTTCTTCCGGACCGCCGGCAGCACCGTTCGCCGCGCCGAGTTCCTTCATGCGTCGCTTTTCGCGCTTGCGCTTCTCCTCGGCTAGGACTGCTTTGCGCTCTTCGTCTTGCTTGTTCTGGATGATTGAGGCCATTGCTGCGGCGGCGCCGGGGAAGTTCGGGTGGTTTGTGTTGATGTAGGCTCGTTGGATGGAGATTAGTGACTCGACATAGCCGGAGCAAGGGCCTAAGCGCTCGCGGAGGAGGTCGGATACAACTTCGATCAGTTTGCCTTGGAGGCGGGGGAAGCGGAGAAGTTCTTGTGAGCCGCATGTGTGGCAGATTTTGATCAGCTCTTCGTAAACGAGCTCAACGCAGCGCTGGGCGGGGGATTCGAGGAGTTTGATTTGGGGCTTGACCAGTAGGTCGAATGCAAGCTCTGGCACGAAAAGACTGGGTCGGGGACCGGTGGAGTTGCGAATGGCAGTGCGGATATCCGAGACAGTCAGGTTGTGGGTAGGGTCGATGGTTTCGAGGGAGTTTCCGAAAACTTCGTTGAAAATATAGTAGATCCGAGCTCCACCGCAGAGCTCCTTGGTCGAGATTTCGGAGGAGGTTCCGTCAATTGATGAGATGAAAGAAGAGGCGAATCGGGTCATCAGCTGCAGAATCAAGGATCCTCGGTGTTCCGGTCCACTGAATTGCTTGTTGCCGTAGCTTGCCAATTCTTGTTGGGTCTGTCCCATAAGGGTATTGAGGCGGGCCTTGATATCGGGTAGTCGGTCACGAATGTGAGCCATCAGAGTTGAGTTGAGGGTCTTGGCCAAAAACTGCGTGCCGCATCGGTTGGCCATGTTGCGATACGCAGGGTGGTGACGGAAGAAGTCGGCCTCAGCGCGGAGGGCATCCGCGAGCTCCTTGCCCGACTGGATATCCTGCTGAGATCGGTTGACAACACCGATAAATCCCAATTTCAACGGGTACACGCGACCGGACAGAATATCCATCGCATTGGTGCCGTGGTCCATGAGATCCAGCTTGGACAGCACACCGATCGTCCTCCGGCCCATGGCATCCACTTGTCGGGCGAGCTTCAGGGCTTCCGAATTGACCAAGTCGACATTGGCCGGGGAAACCGCCAAGATGATACTGTTGGGCTTGGCAATGTATTCCAGAATCAGGGTACGCGTTTGTTTCTCGATATCGGATGGTTGATCGCCAATGGGCACCTTGGTGAGACCGGGCAAATCGACCAGGGTCAAGTTGAGGACATGAGGGGAGAAGATTTTGAGGTTGATGGGTTGTCGGTTGATACCCTTGTTGCTCCCGGCAATACGCGCAGTCTCCGCCTCAATCTCCTGCTTCACCTGGCCGAAGTCGTCAAACTTGCGGCCGGGTTGGTGGTGGAATTCAGCCCATTCCGAATGACCGGCCACGCTGGCCGCGGTGTGGGGGACATTGATCTCGTCATGGTCTTGTTGGCTGTCACGGTCGCTGGGAATGTTGATGAGTTGTAGAATCAATGGGCGACGAGTGACGATGCCACTTCCGCGTGGTAGAAAATCCCGTCCGACGATGTTCTCTAAGACAGACGACTTGCCGGAGGATTGGGAACCGACGACGACCTGGATGGTGATTGTTAGTTCATACACGTGGGTTTCTCATCATAAAAACGAATTATCTGCAGCCAGGATCCACTCACGATCTGCGGCAAGTCGAGAGAATCATTGCCAATGGTGTTAAAGACCAGGTCCTGGAGCTTGTTCACGGTGACGAGCAGATCCTCACCCAGCGCAGCCATGATGGAAGGACAGAAGGGACCGAAAGCCCGAAATAAATAGGGCGAGGGTGTCGGGGAGGTAGAGAAGTCAAAAGAAGAAGAAAATGAGCTGCGCTGGAAGTTCGAAACGAAGGACCCTCGCGCGGCGTGGACGGAGGAGGTTGCGGCCTCGGGAATTGTTGATGGGCGGCACGTGACTGGGGGGTTTTAAGTGGAGCTGAGCAGAGAAGCACTTTTGACGATTGAATTATTTACTACAGAGAGAGGGAGGAGTATTGTAATTGTTTATTCCATTGGCTAAGTTATTTACATAGACACAATCATCATACTGGAATTGAGAAAGAGGAGGAATGAATCAATACAGGGGCAAGGCATAATCTAGTCCAGCTGGACGTAGTTGGCAGGAACAATCCCTGTTTGCCATGGTACTCTCCAAGCCACCAATCGTCATCCGGGAATTCCTAACGTCACAGGTCAGTTTTTAGGGCTTTAGGGAAAATAAAGAAAAGGACAAAATACATACCACGTTCTGAATCTTCGCGTTCTCGGGGAAACTGATCTCGTTGTCTTCGGCTGCCTCATAGTCGTACAGCGCAGTCGCTGTCTGTCCCTTCGAGCTGGCTGGTGCCACGGGGAGTGGTGCGGGAACAGCAGCGGGAACAGGCGCAGCAACAGGAACAGGCTCGGGTTCGGGTGAAGGCTCACGGACTGGCTCATGGGCGGGTTCATGGATGGGCGCACCGGCCTGGTCATCCTCCACGACCTCAACATAGTTTCCAGGGAACAAACCGTGTTCACCACGAGCGTTAACACCCAGCCACCAATCCTCGTCAACCATCTCAATTTCAGTCACGAACTCTCCTTCGCGAAGTTCAATTTCGTTGTCCTCTGCCTTCTCGTAGTCAAACTGCACTTGAGCCCGGATTCCGCCCTGGGAATGACCGGCGGTGGTGGCTTCAGCGGTCGCTCGGCCAAGGTCCTGGGTCTCCTCGAGATCTCTCTCATCAGGAATGGCCTCCTGGAGGCTGCGAACGGGCATCGGAGGCGGAGGAGCGTCCTGCTCCTCGTGAGCATCTGCCACAGCCGGTTCTTCAGCGCCTCGGCCGACGGGCATAACCACCTGGATGGGGGGAGCTCTCGCGAACGGGAGGAGTGGGGGGAGTGGGGGGAGCGCGGTTGCGGGGGAGGAGTAGGGAGCTCTTGGTGACGATCATGCTCTTCTTCTTCCGGCTCTGTGGGTTCGGTAGGTCCAGCAGACAGTCCAGGCACAGGAATGGGAACGGGAACGGGAGCTGGCACGGGACGGTTGGCCTGAGGAACGGGAGGAGGAGTGGGTTGCGAGGGCTCCTGGGCGAATTGGTCGCGAATATCATGGACGTGAGAGGGAGGTCCCGCCGTGTCGGCAGGCTCGCCGGCTCTCACATCAGCCACTTCGGGGGCGGCTCTATCTTGCACAGTCTGGACGGTAGCCCAAGACTTGCCAGCGTAAGAACTCTTCCACTCATTCTGACCGCTGGCCTGACTCTGGATGGGCTGCGATGGCTCGGCGGCGGGGGTGGGGGTAGGAGCCTCACCACGCTCCTTGGCCTTGCGCTCTGCCCAGAGCTGGGCTGGAGTCTTGCCTCCTTGGTCGGCAAAGGTACGGCTGGCGCTGCCGATCTGCGCGGCGGCAGCGGTGGCCGAGGAGGGTCCTGAGGGAAGAGGCGGCTTGGTGCCACCAAACGATGGGCCTCCTCCAAATTTGTTCGCAACCTTGGGCTTGGGCAAAGATGTCAGTCGCTCGGAGGAGCTCTCACCCACGGCCGGTCGCACGGGCAGGTTGACTGGCTCATTTTGAGAAACAGGAGCAGGGCTCCTGGTGGGCTCGGGGGCATCGTCCGGCTTCTGAGCTCTGGCCCGAATGGCCGCAATGTCCACCTTGCCTACCGGCTCGTAGGAGCCCTTCACGATAGTAGGACGTTCATCTTTGGTCTCACCCGAGGCGGCTGCTTGTCGCCGGATTGCCGCAATGTCGACCTTGCCGATGGGCTGGTAGCCACCACCAACCACATCAGCGCCACTTCCCGAAGCCGTAGGAACCTGTCGTGGGGCAGGGGCCTGGTTCTCCGACTTCAATTGCTGTAGGTTCACGCGTGTAGGCTGGTAAGCCGGTTGGACCTTTTCGAGTTGAGATCTCGTGACGGGGGGAGCATCGGCACCCCAGCCATCATCATCCACGTTGGATGAGGCCGAGGGGCGGGGGGCTGAGGGCGCTGGGACAGAGATGCCGCCGGATCGGGACGGAGTGAAGGCGGGCTTAGTCGCGACGGGAGGACGGGGGTTGGCAGCCGGAGTCACGGCGGGACCCTGTGATGAAGCCGAGTACTTGGAGCCCGAAGCATCTCCGACCCGTTGGATAATACCCTGCGGGGTCAGATCACCATCGGCGCGAGCTGTGATTTGCACATGGTACCCCTATTTGAGCGGAGAGCATATGGTTAGTCTGACTCTGACCATTTGGCGGTGGGATTGAAATGAATGCGCCACGAATACACGCCACGGTGGTCTCTTACATGTAGGAACTTGGAAACGCTGGCTAGGTGACTGGTGAAGTACCCCTTTGTCCGCTCGGGGACACCTTCACCGCACCATGCGATCAACACATTCTTGGGCAGACCGGTGTTTGGGTCAATGACCTTGAGGTAGGCGAATTGAACCCGACCCTCGGAGAATTCTTCAATCAGATCGTCCAATTCACCATCTGGTTGTCATCAGTTGGCCATTAGTGATCAATTCAATGCTGTGGGCTGTACATGGGGGGGTAAATGGGGGCGGCTGGGCGGGCGGCTGTGGTCACTCACCTCCGGTAGTTTGGACCTTCAGGACACTCTCTTTATTTCCGCCATCCTGTTGAAAGGCATTGACTAGCGGGGCGGACACGGAAAAGAGAGCCCATTGACCATAAGTTGGGGAACTCGAGGGGAGAGTGGCGTTGACGACAGATTGGTAGCTTTTGTTGATGGAGGGACCGTTGGTTGAGAGATTGAGGGATGCCATGGTGGCAGAGGCGGAGGTGGAGGAGGAGGAGAAATAGAGTATGTGCACCAGTAGGGAGTCGAAGAGAAGATGATTGACTTGTTGGTGTGCTGTTCCAAGGGAATATCAGTATATCAGTTGATCAGTTTAGGCTCCAAGACTCAGCCACAGCCACAGCTCCAGTACCGGGTCGAGCTGGAGGGAGGGGAAATGATGATGCCTCGTGCAGTGAGGGGCAGGTAGCCGCAGGGGATGGCAAATACCGAGTAGTCAAGTGGAAGTGGCACAGTAGTCAAGTAGTCCACTGTATATGTGTATGTGATATGCGGGGATGGAGAGGTGAAGTTGAAGTTGGTGGAGGAAAGTGGAGAGTGGAGAGTGTTGGGCAGGTGACCAGTTGGTAACTCTGGAAGGAGCGAGAGAGTGTTGTTGTTATGGAAGGAGCGAGTGGAACTGCCCACTGCCCATTGCGACTGCCACGGGACGTCATCTCCGCTCTTTCCTAACGTACCCAAAGTCACCTGGTCTCCTCCTTCTTCTATCAACTCCAACGTCAACTTCAACTTCACTCCTTCACTCCTTCACAGCTACACACCTTCTTCTCTTCTTTTTCTCTCCCCTAAACACCTAACCCTAATATCACGACTTCTTGCATACACCTTTACCACCACCATTGTCCATTGATACCCAATCAATCTATCCCATCCAAACATTCCCTCCAATCGGCTCCACCCCGCCCGATCTGGACCTGCGAGGCTCACCGGTGTGGATCACAGGGTCAAAAAAATCATTATCGCTGATAGCATACAACGGAGCACATCCTCGCATATATATTTACTCCTCTTTGTGTCCCTTCATGACTCAATAATTCAATCCACCATTTCTCAATTCTCTCTTTCAAACCTACCCCTTCCTCCCCACCTCCCTCCCCTCCGGTGGCGCACAACCGATCAACAACAGTCATGGGGTCACTTCAACCCGACCTTGGTCTCGATTCAAATGCCAACACTCCCAACGATGAATACCCCCGATACTTCAGCTCCGGCGACGAGGCTGTCGTGCCTACCTCTCGCGACGACTCGGATCCGTCACAAGATGACAACGGCGAGCTGTGGCCTCGAGACCAGCAACAAAAGACGGCTACCTACGACTATGCCTTTGAGAAGTCCATGAGTCACGCAGAGGCAAAACTTTTCTATCAACATCACCAACAATCGTCCAAGACGGGGTCTACAACCGGTGAGAACACCGCGCAAGGTGTCCCCGTCAGTCCTGTGCCCACAAGTAGCTCCATCGTCGAGTCCAACGAAGGAGACCGCTCATTCCACGGCGATTTTGCTTCTCGCCCTCGAGGAAACTCCATTATGCATGAAGCAGAGTGGTATCCTTCTGCCTCTTCCCAGTCCGGTGGGGACGGTGCTCAGCCTAACAGTGCCCAACAGGCCGCTGATTTCGCCGCTCGAAGCCATGCCGCCACGTTCAGCCCCGCCCAGACTTCACACATCGCCGCGGCTGAAGGCCTCCAAGGAAATGGTCTCGGTATTGGTGGTCTCCCCCAGGGTGCCAATGGGTTCGCACCAAGTGGTGATGTGGTGAGCTCCGAGTTGAGTTCGATCTATCGCAAGATCAAGGGTCTCTTGGATCGTCGAACCAAGTATATGGAATTGTCGTTGCAACGACCTGGAGATAATCCTCGTGATTCACCCGATTGGGTTCTCTACCCACCACCTCCAGAGCCTGCCTGGGATGATGGTAAGGAGTACCAGCCAGGGACCGCTGGGGGCTCCTCGGATTTGAACGAGAAGAAGAGAAAGATGGGCGAGGATATCGGTGAAGATTTCGATTTCGAGGAGCAATTGCCCTTCCCGGCCCATCGGATTGGACATACCGTTTGGACCGGAGCAGTGTCTACCAGGTCTATGAGTCGGAAGACGCGAAAGAGCCTGCCGTTCACATCCCTTCACTGCGGGACTTCTACATGGATTTGGATGCCGTGGTGGATGTCTCGACGGATGGGCCAGCTAAGAGTTTTGCCTTCAAGCGTCTCTCATATTTGGAAGGCAAATACCAGCTATACACCCTCTTGAATGAATATCAAGAAGTCGCAGACAGCAAGAAAGTCCCCCATCGTGACTTTTACAACGTCCGGAAGGTCGACACTCACGTTCACCACTCGGCGTGTATGAACCAGAAGCATCTGCTCCGTTTTATCAAGAGCAAGATGCGCAAATCTCCCGATGAGGTGGTTCTCTTCCGTGATGGCAAGCATTTGACTCTGCGGGAAGTCTTTGAAAGTATCAACCTGACTGCTTACGATCTCAGTATTGATACCTTGGATATGCACGTATGTTGCCAAACTCACTCCTCTTCATCACGTATGAGAAGTCGGGATGAAACGCCTACTAACACTCGAACAGGCCCACACCGATTCTTTCCATCGCTTTGACAAGTTCAACCTGAAATATAACCCCGTCGGAGAATCTCGTCTTCGTGAAATCTTCTTGAAGACGGATAACTACATCAAGGGTCGATACCTGGCTGAGATCACCAAGGAAGTGATTTCCGATTTGGAGTCCAGCAAATATCAAATGGTTGAATGGCGCATCTCTATTTATGGACGGTCTCCCGACGAGTGGGACAAGTTGGCTGCATGGGTGGTGGACAATAAACTGTTTTCCCCCAACGTCCGCTGGTTGATCCAGGTGCCCCGTCTCTACGATGTCTACAAGTCCAGCGGCATGATGGAAAACTTTGAACAAGTCATTACCAATGTTTTCCAACCACTCTTCGAGGTGACCAAGGATCCATCCAGCCACCCCAAACTGCACATCTTTCTGCAGCGCGTCGTCGGATTTGACAGTGTCGACGACGAAAGCAAGACAGAGCGCCGTTTCTACCGAAAGTATCCCATCCCGCGAGACTGGGATACCAAACAGAATCCCCCCTACAGCTACTGGCTGTACTTCATGTTTGCCAACATTGCATCCCTCAACCAGTGGAGAAAGCGTCGCGGTTTCAATACCTTCGTGCTCCGCCCACACTGCGGTGAAGCTGGTGACCCAGACCATTTGGCTGTGGGCTTCCTTGCTTGTCACAGTATCAGTCACGGCATTTTACTTCGCAAGGTCCCTCTACTTCAGTATCTTTACTACTTGCACCAGATCGGCATCGCCATGTCTCCACTGAGTAACAATGCCCTGTTTCTCACTTACGATAAAAACCCCTGTGCCAGCTTCTTCAAGCGAGGACTGAATGTCTCCCTGTCAACCGATGACCCTCTCCAATTCGCATTTACTAAGGAACCCCTGATCGAGGAATATTCGGTCGCCGCTCAAATCTACAAATTCAGCGCTGTCGACATGTGCGAACTTGCGAAGCACTCTGTCGACCAGAGTGGATTCGAGATTACTTTGAAGAAGAGGTGGCTTGGTGATGATTGCAGTCAGCCCGGTGTGCGCGGTAATAATGTTGCGAAGAGTAACGTTCCCGATATTCGCGAGGCGTTCAGGAATGATACTCTCGCCGCTGAGTTGTCCCTGTAAGTTCATTTTGAATTTTCTACTGCCAGTGAATATATGACTAACGGACTCTCTTTCTAGTGTTGAACGGTATGCTGAGGGTTCTGGTGTTGATGAGCGCAGTGCCTTGGCCCCGGGTTTGTTGCATACAGCTCAGCAAGCGTCTGTCAAGCCCGCTAATGCTAAGTCTTGATAATGATCATGATGATGATCGTGATTGTGTTTGATGTTTTTACTTTCGGATTATTTAGCCAGATAGTAATAAGTCATGTTGATGAGTGATGACGAGCTTCTTTTATGGGTTTCTATTTTGGTTTATCATACCTCCGCAACGATGTCCTGGATAATCCTTCAGTCCATCATATCATTAGGTTCCCTCAGCACTATGTATACCCATATCCTGTGATCCAACATTTGCCTCTAATTTAAGAATCAAGGTTCAAGATCTGTTCAATCGACATAGCCCATCATTGTCCCAATCTTCACTACCAACCCCTTTCCGAACAATGAACAGATCATTCGGATCCCTTGATGCCTTGATAGATCGCAAGCGTGGGTAATTCTCACCCCAAAACGATTGTTGAAATCCAACTTCATCAGCATCGGCTTCATTCACATAGACACCCATTTTGCCATGCTCAAGTGATCTGAACATAGGCACCTCGCGACGCGTGATATTAGCGGTTTTGGCATCCTGCTCTTCAAATGTCATATCTGCGCTCACCAACCGCGTGAAAATGACATGGACCATGGTATCTCTCCAGGCTGGATTCAGTGCGGATGCGATATTGCGATTCTTGGAAACTTGGCCTCCTGTTAGGATTATTCCCGCAACTGCCTCGCCCGGGTCATAGTTAAGACTTGACATGGCACGCGTCAGTCGTGTGGAATTGTCTGATTTGATGAAATCTCGTGACACCAGTTGAGATCCTAAGCGCATTCCTGTCCCGGTTGTATCGCTACCAGCCAAGACTGTGGAATACATGCTGGACATTGAAGGATACGTAACCATACCGAACGATGGTTCGAATCCGATCACTTGTTTCAAATCCGATAGCAAAGGAGAGAAAAGTTCTTTAACAGTGGTTAGGTCTGTTTGGTTGACGAATGCGATGGCGGACATAAATGCGGACACGTTTTGTGTGCTGGAAACTGGATTTATTGGCACCATTCCGTAGTATCCCGAGCCACCATGATCGTTGAGTCGAAGGATATGTTTTTGAAATGCTCCGACTCCGTCCCAGAACGCGGTACCCGGGTCCATGGTGTAGTTCAGTGTCGCGTATATCAAGGGGTAATCAGGGTAGACTTTAACAGTGGCGCTTACGACCACTCCAAAAGAGCCTCCACCACCACCTCTCAATGCGAAGAACAGATCAGAGTTCTGATATGCGTTGGCGAATACAAGTGATCCCTGTTGATATATCAGTAACGAAGCATGTCGCGAAGAGGTCAAGTCCCCATTTGAGCTTACATCTGCCAACACAACTTGAAACTCAAGCACATTATCACTCGCCATTCCATGGAGCCATCCTAGGAAGGAATGTCCTCCACCTTGGATATATCCACCGGCAACACCAACTGTGTTGAATGTCCCTCCCACTGCCATCAAGCCTTTGGACCCCAAAAATGCGTACATCTCACCCAATTGAACGCCAGCGCCAACAGTTACAGCCTTCACACCATCCGGACGAGTTGACATCGGTGGGACCGTGGGAACAAATTCGTTGGAAATAGACATGCTCTTCATGAAGTGCGTCAGAATTTGCAAAGATTTCGGCGAAGATGACCGGCCAAGAAAGTCATGACCAGTGTTTTTTATGACAAGCTTGATATTATGGCGCGTCACGAAATTGACAATGGTTTGAATGTGTTGAGCATTTCGTACTTCAGCTGAGAAGAGCGATAATCGGCCTTGTTCGCATGGGTCCGACCGTGGGGACTCCGTATAGCATTTCTCATCGGCTGCTGGCCATGTTTCCCAGTTTTCCCATTGAAGCGCACCTGAATTGGTAGTTAGTAAGAAATTGGCTGAAACTGATGGGTTTATTGGGGGTCCAACCCGGATGCAAGGATCGATAGGTAGAATTATATGTATTTGTTTGTACAACGCTACATGCAGAAGCGTTGAAATTGGGGTCGTGACAAGACCTTGCGAGTGGTTTCACTGTGACCAAATTCCCTCCGATAGAATTATTAAGGGCAGCCCATTGACCCTCGGTTGGCCAGCAGGGTTGGTCGGGTTGACATCGACATGATCTCGGGTCTGCCGCAAACCCAATGGCGGCAAAGAGGCCAATGCACAATAACCTTGGCTTCATGGTGGCGGATAGCTTAAAACCCAAAGATTAAAGATTTACGATAAGGAATATTATTGGGTTCTCGTATTAAAAGGTAAGAGGGGCTGTTCAAGTTTGTTTTGATCTGCCGAGGAATGTGCACCAAGCGTACTAGTATTGCATACCTCAGCCTCCTTATCATGATGGATCTACAAGAGGCACGGGCCACATGCTGTGACCACAGTCGAAGCTGACTGCAAAAAAGAAGCTATTGTGATATGAGGCTGGTGCAGACCAGAACGACGCGCGCATTTGAAATTACTATTTGTTCCCGAGATATCTTCTCAATATTCCCGAGTCTGAAATCCTACTAGTAACTTCCAACTTTGCTCATCTTGAATTTTCCTCCCGGGCTACACATGGAATCCACTCCAGGTGAAATATATAATTGCTCGGGCAGTACTATTAACTGCCCGAATAGGTACTAGCACACAAAGGGTTCTGGGGTTAATGAGGGCAGTGTTCAAGTTGTCAATTTCTCACACAAGCATGATGATATTTAATCTACCTGGTAGCGCCCGGCGTCATATTTTGTTGAAAACCTTGGAATCAAGTATGATAAATACCCCACTTCACTGGCTGTTGCTTAATGTTGCCATTGCAATCCATATCACCCTTCGCTCCCACCCTGCCATCACTATCCCCAAATCGCTTGGCTGCCTCATTGATAATATCAATCACATCCTGCCCGTCAACAACAAAGTTCGCATTCCCGTTCACCTTGGTAGCCTCCACGCAAAACGCACAAGTACCATACCAGAGAAGCTCACGTTGTGTCACAATCTCAGTGGTATACTCATCGTCGATGTCTCCCTCAATATTCTTGATGATTTGAAGACAGTCTTCGACCAAAGGTGATCCACCACTGGTATCGTTCTCAAACGTTGAGTCCCCACATGTATCCTTGCCCGTTAGAACATCGCATGGCCAGTTTTCAGTCCCGCCCTTCTTCGCCTTGTCCCAGGATCTGAAGGCACGCTCCGGGCTACAGACTGGGATACGCATGATTTTGATGGCATTCTGGAATGGTTAAAACGTCCCGTTACTGGTGGCCATAATACCAAATATGTGTTTGCTGTCATAACTCTTGTCACAGAGTTGCATGGCCAGGGTCGGGGTTGACACAGTGAGATCGCCCAAATCATCTTGGAAGAGCTTCAAGGCGGAGTTGGAGATGTCTTGGTTCAGCAGACTTTGGCCTATATAGAGACCGATGGTAGCCTGGCCAGATTGTCCGTAAATAAAGAAGGGCCTATCCGTGGCTCCATGGCCATTTTCAGCATAGTGACGAAGTTGTCTGACGAGAGACCGAATCCTCGAATCCCCGAATCCGCAAGACCAAACTCTTCCTTCCACCAGCCCACCTCGAACTCAACATCAACAGAATTTCCGGCAGCAACCTTTACGGCCGAAGCGGGCATTTGGGAGAAGTCAGGACCGAAAGATGAACAAGCGTAAAACTTGTGGTTCTTAGTCTTGTCATCGACTGGGTCGGATAGTGAAAACTCATAGAATATATGGTACGCAATCATTTAGAATTTGGTATATACTGTTCAAAATACACGGAAGCAGATACTCAAGGAATAAAGATGGTACAGTGATTCAAGGAACGCCATCACCAGATAACCATTGTAGAAACACAATCAGACAAGGAAGAACCCCAAAGCCCCAACTGCGGCGAGCAAGCATGATATGCCAGCGACAGCTAGTTGATGCGCCGCATTATTTTTATCCTCCGGGCAATCGGATGGTCGATCTATCCCTTTGCATAGGTCGGATTTCAAAGAGGCCTCCATGCTTGCCACAATTGTCTTGTCGATATGGACTCGACAAGGATCCGGCGTGGGTGTTGGGGTGGATGACGCCACGACCGCGCAAGTGTCGTTGGTGTAATCACCGCCAGACCATGTCACCCACATCGGGACTTCCATAGTTTTGTCTGTCACATTGATCGCCATGCCGTATTCCTCCGGGCATGTCTTCTTGGCTGTTGCAGCAACAAGATCCACCTTAGGGGCTGAACTTTGAAGAGTGAACCAGGTGGACCAAGTAGAAGAGTTGTTGATCATATCGGCACTGAGAGGATGACTTTCAAAGGCGTCCTCATCGCAACTTTGCCAGCTTAGGCTCCACCTCACCCTCCAGCGTCCCTCTTCCTTGAAATAACCGTAGTAGTGATATGCGTAGAAGGTGTCCTGCCCAATCCAGTTGGTCCATCTTAAATCATGAATCCGGGTGCGAGAGTTATTCGCATTATCCAAATCCCAAAACGTATAGGTAATTTCAGGATTCAGATATCGGGCGCGCTCGGCATTCTGGAAAGCAAAAACAATAGGAAACCATTCCGTCGGTGAATATGTCTCATTGCGGGGGAAAACGAGGTCCACTTCCAGGATGTCAGAAGCGTTTATTATGGTGCCTATGCACAAAGCGAGCAGCCAGCTCGTTTGGTAAAAGCGCATTTTATGGGCAGGTTGGACTTTCAAGAGTCGCGAGGGCCGGGAAGTTGAAGAGGAGGGAGACAATTCGCAGATTCTCTCAAGTCGATGAGCTTGCGAGGATAGATTCCAATTTGGCAATGAAGGGCGAAGGAAAAATGCAAAAAATAGGGGGCTATACGCCACATGAGGCGAACCGAATGTTAGCAGGCATTGGAAGAACGGGTGAGACGCTCATTTTCTAGGCTGCATAAGTTCGCGCCTTGGCGGCTCATGGGCAATCTTGCCACAGGGTCGAGGACCCTGAATGTTTGTCCCTCCACAAAGAAGTTCCGAGAGGGGCGGAATCTAGGTCCCCAATCAAGGCTTGGCTAAGGCTTGGCATTAGGTAGTGTGGCCAGTAAATTGCAGCGTCAAACTGCCCAGGAGGTAGTCAACATCGCTAAGCAGTAGGTACATACAAGCTCGCCTTTAAGTTCTGGTATTGGTTCGCTTAAAATCTTTCCTTGTCAGATGTACGACCCTGCGGCTCCTGCCGGCTCAACTATAACATTTTCCGTCCGAACTTGTAACTATACCCAAGCTTCGTACTGATGCCCCTTCCAGGCTATCTACAGTCTTCGATTTAGCCACCAATGACTTGCGCGTTGTGAGATCCACCGGCACCATCTGGAAATGTAGCAATGCGCCAGACGATTCAGAGCTTGACTAACCTCAAAGTAGCTGGGTAACAATCAACAAAGTACGCTAACTTTGGAAGACTACTATACACACTAGAGAGAAGGGCATTCGCTCTCGGAACTTTTGATGTGTTAATACCCTCAGGGCTAATAGCTACTAGTAGTATTAGGGCCACAAAAGATGTTATATAAACCTTCCAGGAAGATGCACAGAGATTGAATTCAAAAAAAAGTTTCGGAAGTCAAATATTCTTTTGCCCACTTGCGGAGTTCCTATTAGGACATCAGTATGTGACTCTCGATTTACTAAGGAAACATTATCTGACGTTTTTACTACCTATATAGCTCAAAACCAAGCCCAGCACAATGCGCCTCACAGCTACTCTTGCCGCCGGAGCAATCCCAGCTACGACTGCGGCTCTGACCCCCCGCGCTGTTGACTGCGATTTTTCCACCACTGCTGATGCCGGGGATACATGCTCGAGCTTTGCTAGCAACTGGGGACTATCGGTTGACAATCTTAAGCAGCTGAATCCTGGTATCTCCTGCCCTGATCTTGATGCCAGCAAGTCATACTGTGTTATAGGCACTGTCACGGAGGAACGATCCAGCACCACTTCCACTTCCACGACAACGAAACCAACCACAACCAGCAAGTCTACCACCACCACAGTGACTGCCCCCAGCAACAGCCCCACCATGCCCGGAGTTGCAAGCAATTGTGATGGATTCTACCAGGTCTCATCCGGCGATCAGTGCGACACCATTGCCGCGAAATACGGTATCTCAGAAGCTCAGTTCAAGAGCTGGAACAGCCAGGTCGACACCAGTAGGTCTTCGGTACTTCTTTTTACCCAAATAGCAGACTCTAATCTCTATAGGATGTTCCAACCTCTGGCTGGACTATTACGTTTGCGTGCATGTTCCAGGTGCAACAACCACCTCGGCGCCTCAGCCAACAGCTTAGCCTGCGGGTCCTACACCACAGATGCCCGGTATCGTCAGTAACTGCAAGAAATACCACCTGATCGCGGATGGCGATAGCTGTTATTCGATCAATACAGCTGCAAAGATCACTTTGGCCCAGCCCCGCACCTGGAATACCCAGGTTGACGCATCGTGCAGCAACCTGTGGCTAGGATACTATGTCTGTGTTGGCGTTTAAACTAGTTGTTATCTAGGTTACGGCATACCGCAGTTGATTCGGTCGAGGTCTTGAGTAATATTCTGGGCATATCGACAGATTCGATGGGACTTGGAGCAACGTAAGCATGTGGGTTTACCATCGTCGCATTTCACGTGTCTTTCTCTGCAAGTCAGGCCTTGATGTGCATGTGAGCTCTCGCTTAAGGGCCTTCGGATTTGACTGAGCAGGCTATCAGCTTATCATCCTGTTCTGGTTCTCAATCCACGTGCCCGTGAGGGTCTGATACGTCGACGACGATGCCCCTATTCGCTAGTCTCCGTCGTTGACATCTGCCGTGGGTTGCCGACGGCATTCATTGCGGTGGATGGTGGATTCGTTGGACGCCGCCCCCAATTAATAATTTAAGTAGGGGTTTGATATTACGCCTTCCCCCCCCGCGCGCCCTGATTAGTCATTCTCAAAAACACAGTCAACAGCCTCCTTGATTATATATGAAATTTTTTTAAAAAAATTGTAATTAAATACCAGATATAACATTCCTTTACAAAGTGAAATATAGAACTTTTGAGAAAAGTTATCATAAGCACAGACGAAGTTTGTATTGGCTGGTTGACTCGTGTCCCTGGGAGTCTTGACGTCACTATGCTTCCAGTCTTTGACATTAAACACGCCTATCTTGATCGCATTTTCATGGCAAGCGGTGGCCTTTTTGCCTTTGTCCAGAAAGTAGACCGCCTCTAGAACTTTAAGCCGAATGCTGAAGCGTTTCCTAAAATCCCCACCTTCCTTAAAAACGGAGACAGCATAACTAATGTCTTTACAGTTCTCATGTCGCAAGAGCCAGCTGCTCCGCCACCGCCAGGCGTTATACCGGATTTCGACAACCCATCGGGAGGCATTCACCTGTGGCTGATAGTGACACAGTTAATTTGCCTTCCTGTTGTCGCATGCTTTGTTATAACGAGGCTGTATGTCAAACTATTCAAGCAGCATGTGTTTTACGCTGAGGACTGTAAGCCGCTGCCCGGACTAGTTATCTGACATTGCCGTATGCTAATTGAGTTTAGGGATGTGTTTAATATCTTGGGTACGAGGGCTTCGCAGACAGAGGTAATGTATTAGTAAGTTCATCATGCTGACTGTAATAATTTAGCTCCTAGCAACAACATGGTTTTCTCTTCAAATTGTTTGTACGTCTCGGAAAATACATCTGGTTACAATAGATATTGACGTTTATCTCTCTTCAGCGGCATATGGGGGTGGAGGATACCATCAATGGGATGTTCGGAAGAATGATATGGTTCTGTTTTTGAAAGTAGGTTAACCAATATATACAAGAGAAGTTTCATTCAACTAACTTCGTGCTACGACCTCTTATATAATAAATGTTCTATACAGCCCGCTTATATTTACAGTCAAATTGTCGATTTTATTTATGCTCGCACGACTATTTTCCCCATATCGGAGATTGGTCACGTTTATATACATATTCATTGCGGTACTGGCGGCATACACTATCGCAGCATTGGTGGTGAAGACCCGCATCTGCAACCCTATTAAAGCCTTTTGGCTTGGTGTCGAAGCTACTAATGGGACGTGTCTCGATGTCCTGAAGGTCTTCCTTGCCGACACAACTTTCAGTGTAATTACTGACTTGATTATATTTGCTCTGCCGATGGTAGTGATTCCAGTGCTTCACCTGCCCCTTATGAATAAGCTTAGAGTTATTGCTCTTTTGGCAGCAGGTGGTCTGGTGTGCATTGTGACAATTGTCCGGCTGGTATGGGTGATCTCATATCAAAACTCACTTGATACAACATGGACAACCAAACGGACGGATCTTGTCACCTGTGCCGAGATTACAATTGGGATCATCTGTGCCTGTCTTCCAAGTGTGTACTTCTTTTTGAGCCAGCACTTCTCTTTTCGCTCCCTGCGAGGCAGCGAGGGTGGATCGTGACTTCAAGAACCCACAAATCTATTGTTCTAATTTTCTTCAACTTGGAATCTATACCAGGGGATATCCTTAATATTGCCTCTGAACTACTGCCACTTTTTGGGTAGAATACTGCTCATATTTTTGCTTCGCAACTGTACAGGGCAAGTAGTTGTGTTCCAGGTCGCCATCCCTACATATTTAAATACTAGTTAATACCTTACATACAGTAGTATTACGGTATTGAGGGCTTAGATTAGTATTCATAGAGTATTTACCTACTAACGGATAATAAAATAAGCAAGGCAGGAACGCACAGATATATATACACCACCACCACTACTATCTTTTTCTTCTTCTTTAAGTCCTTTAGATATTTACCCTTCCAAGGTTCTAGAGCCTTTTGGCAATACAATGTATTTTGCCCTTGGCTTCTTAGGCTACAATATACTTTAATATCAATAAATTACCTTACTAACCTACAGTACTAACCTACAGCTTTTCACTATTCTAAGGTTATAATTACAATGTGTTTTAGCCTTGGCCCTTTAGTATCACAATACTTTCTAGTATTATAATATATTTTGGCCCTGGCTTTTTAGCCTACAATATACTGCAATAGCAATAAAGAACCTTACTAACCTACAGTACTAATCTATAGTCTTTTACTATTACAATTACAATTATAATTACAACGCATTTTGGCCTTGGCCCTTTGGCATCATAACTTGTTTTGGCCTTGGTCCTTTAGCATCGCAATGCGTTGTAGCCCTGGTGTTTTGGCCCTAGTGTTTTGGTCCAGTAGTAGTAAGTAGTAGTTAGTAGCTGATTAGTACTATATTATTAATACTTCTACACCTACAGGATACCCTAAATACCTTAAGTAGGCAAATACCGTATTTGAAAAAATGCTTGGAAAAACTCGGCATTCTAGTGACTATCATGTTCTAGCTGAATACCGTATTTATAAAGTATTTATAGCGTATTTAAATATACCCTGGGGGCGGGAAAGGTTGGAAGTTGTCAGGAACAGAGGCGCGGGAAGCTGGATTGATGCCTGAGGCCGCGAGGCCTCAAGGGTGGTGAGGGTTGCGATAATGTGGTCCTGGCAAAGCTTTATGTGACGATTCGGAGTTTAGTATAAAATCAAATGGCACAACTCCAAGGGCGTCATTAATGCCGGCCAGATGTAAAGAAACCTCGTCGAATGAAGGGCACATTATGCGCTGACTCAGCACACCTGTAGACTTCCTCTCCTCCTCGTTCCACCAACCGAACAATTTGCAAGATGTCGAGTCCCGATTTCGATGCCAACCTACAGGCCAATGATGACTCTAGAGGCAAAAGAGTGTCGCGTAGAACTTCACGCCTCACTTCTCAGCAGGTCCAACACAAAAGAGACCTAGATCGAGCCTCACAGCAAGCGTATCGGCAACGGGTAAAATCTCGGATCAAAAATCTGGAAGATGAACTGGCTCATGTCAAGGCAAACAGTGGAAACGGTCACCAAACTTTGCTCCACGAGATTCAATCTCTCAGGGACGAAAACAGACGCCTCCAGGCGCGTCTAGAGAGTATTCGACAGTTAGCCGACGGGGGGCTCTACCAAACACGCGATGATACTGGATTGGTATCATCTGGCCAGCCCGAACCCTCGGCCGAGGCACGATCGCTTCCCCAGACGGGCCTTGCTTTCGTGCTACAACCGAACTCTCCGCCACGCGATGGCGTTGAACGCGCAGACAGGTTGGACATCAACAGAAATGCCGATGATTTCCGGCCGCAGAATGAATATATGACCACTGCCTCCCATGAAGCTGACGCTCCATCACCGTCACGCGCCACCACTCAAGATCATGATATTTCGATACGCTTCCCCACCCATAATGCCTGTACTCCTGGAGGAGGTAGATTTGCCCACTATCATTTCCCAGTCACGAGTCTGACTCACAGGCCAATTCTTAGATTCCAATGTCCCCACCTCATCGCGCGATTTCACCAACGAAGCTGGCTTACCATTACTCACGACGCACGAAACACCCCCACCAGCTGTACATTCACCGCATGAATTTAAGCTCCCCGCAAGCATTGAACCCGTCATGCCCAAGCACATACCGGGGATCTATCCAATTGAAAAAATAATTCTAAACTTTATAGCCTCTCGGCGGACATTGGCTGCTAGAGGACTCCCGGCAGGTGCTTTATTAGGACCCGATTACCCATTGGTACAGGGATTTGTGAACCCAGAGAACATCAGAGGGGTTCATCCTACCTGCCAAACCCTAACAGAGATCCTCCTAACATTTAGAGATGTTGCCCTTCCTGAAAAGCTTGCATTTATGTTTGTTATGTTCCGCACGTTGAGGGTACGTATCTATACCTGGATGCCTTCACGTCAGCTAACGGGTAAAAAGTGGCAGCTGTCATCCTCAAGATTCGACTACGAACAAATGCCGAGGTGGCTGCGGCCGACCGCCCTACAAATAACAGTCCCCCACTCTGCATGGATAGACAATATACCATGGTGAGCATCGCCATCCTTAAGCGGAAAAGAATTCAATCTGAATGGACCACCGCTATGGGACCAAATCTTCCAAAACTGACATGCGAGAATTCATTTGTCTAACGTCTATTTCAGGCCCCAGATGCGGGATGCATTGATCGAAAGTCCTTCAAGATACCCATACTCAACCTTTTCCGCACTTTATTCGCCAAATGTCACTGTCAATTGGCCTTACGACCCAATGGATGCCGTAAAGGAGGTTGAAAATGGAATGATCCTCAACCCGATATTTGAGAAGCACATTCGACGGTTAAAGAATTGGAAATTGTCTAGTCGTTTTGAAGAATACCTACCAGGGTTAGCCGAGGAGATCCATCGGTGATAATTTGGCTCGGTGTAAAGTTGGAAACAAAATGCCTATCTGGTTAATGTACCAAATCAGACGCGTTTTGTAATGTCAACCTCGTGGACTATATTGTTGCAAAGAATGGTGTATTTCATGTCACACATGTGAACAAGAGATTTGTCACATTGAATCCATGTTAAATAAAGGTCTGTCTTAGGCTTCGCCATGAGAGAACACCCTGATTCCGTCATAGATAACTCCTTCCGGCATGTATGGATCAGAATCTAATTGAGTCCAGGACACGGTCAGATTGCCAAAAGTCAGCTCTTTCGATGCCTGCCTTCGGCGCGACTTCAAGCTGCGTACTTGTTGGATAGCTTTTGTTGGCATTGCTGCTGAATGCAAATTGTGGAACCAACCGAACTGGGGAATTCACGAAATCCCCAAGCACACCATAGTTATGCCAATGCGGCGCACTCGGCAGTTTCATGTTATTTGGATCATCAGTACGAATAAAAGATGACAGGTATGCACGGAACTCGACAGCAATAGCGCACTCGAAGTCTTTCATTGAAGCGAGGGGCGTGCTGAGGTAGCTGTTATCCGAGCTGTGTGTGGCCGGGGCGAGTGGATAAATTCCACTGTAGTTTGTACCAACGGCTAATATTGCACTCCGTTAACTTCTGGTGAATAAAGCTCGTCCCATCGGGGCAAGGGTACTTACGAGGCGCATTGAAGCGGTATGTCCAGATATTCGTCGACCCGTGCGCTTCGCTCATCCACCTACCGACCATACGCTCTGAGCCAAAGATTCCGGCATCTCCGAAAAGGCCGAAGGCCATCCAGTATGCTTTAAAGACATCCAGGAAGAAATTGTCGGGTGACACTGAGCCGTAACTTCCATTTACCGGATAGAATGAGGCAATTTCAAAAACTTGGGAATCGGTGAGATTGGTAAGCCTATTAGTGCTGGGATCGAGTTTTGTCGTATTTTGTGGTGTCGGATTCTCTTGCGTGGCATTCGTATAGCCGTTGAAACCTTCATCAGACGTACTACCAGCAATAGTAGGCACGTTGGCGGTCTTTCCCTCCTCAAAGAGGCGCGTAACAGAGTCCGTCAACGTCACGCCATCGATTGTTGGTCCAAAACTTCCTTGATACCCGAATACCTTGCCCGCGAAGACCCTGGTCCAATTAGTTTAGTGATTATCGACCAGCATAAAAAGATCGGTACCTACCCCTCTTTTCCCAGTACGCTTGAGAAGGTCTGGAATGTATCAACGAGAACAGGCACGGAAACGTTTCGAAAGCAGGCCAGCTGCTCAGTACCTGTGCAATTGAGTTCTTCGGCCAATGCAGCATTGCGGAGTTTTAATTCTTCGGTATTGAACATTGGCTCTCGCTGAGAGGAGCGCAATATGGCTTTTTGGAATGCTCCTTTTCTATCACCGTTATATAAACCTAATTGGGCTGCGATCGCCCATCCCCCACCAGATTGGCCCATAATGGTAATGTCATGGGGGTTGCCACCGAATGCGGCTATGTTCTTCTTGACCCATTCCATGGCCATGCGTTGGTCTAAAAGACCAGCATTCGCCGATGGAAGGCCATGATGATTCATAAATCCAAGCATTCCAAGACGATAGTTCATGTTCACTGCGATGAAGCCTTGATCTTGGGCAACCCAGTCCCCAAAATCATCTTGGGACCCATCTCCAAATATGAGTCCACCACCCTGCGGGAGGGTTAATTGACAGCCTCAGCTTAAAGCACATGTATCGACTTACATGAACATAGACAAGGACTGAAAGATTGTCTCCGCGCTTTGCCTTGGTTGGCTTCCATACGTACAACTTGAGACAATCCTCTGTTCCGGGTGAGCCTGGGCCAAGATAAGCATTGTGAACCCCATACGGGGCAAGCGTAAACTGGACACAGCGCTCAGGATCAGTGGTTGCATTCATTACCTCCTGACTTTGTAGAGGTAGCGGACCGGGAGGCATAAAACGTAGCTCTCCAAGAGGAGGTTCGGCATATGGAATTCCTTTCCAGGATTGAACACTATGTCACGATTGCATCAATATTCGAATGGCTTAACAAAAGCAATGGCTATCACCCACGTTCCATTGTTTTGAAGAACTCCCCTGTAGGTACCTGAAGCACCAAGGTTGACAATCGGATTCACATAGTCACCGCTGATATGACCTGTCCTCTTTAGCGCAACCGCAGGGGTGGCAAGGAACAGAAATAAATTGAAAAGCCAATGCATTATTGTAACCTCTGTGGATGAGTTCAGAAATTCGAATCTGCATTGGAGAACTTCCGTTTTGATTCAACCCTTGAGCCTTTTATCTTCCCAACTCCAAAACTCTATAGGAGTCTAGCTAACTGAAAGGAGATACTTCGGAGAACACAGTATATACCATACAATGATATACTACTACTATTAATTCACCAGGAATGTCTGAGTTAGGAACCTAATACCGGTATTACAAATTACCCACATGAACTTTCAGGAAATTGGGAGTAATAGAGTCAATTCTATAGGTTACAAATGACAAATTACAATTTATGTTTAGGACTTTCGATTTCAATTCCACGCTGATGCTTTCTTCGCTCGTCAAATGTTAAGTCCCAGAGCATTTCAACTTAGTAAGTGGAGGTATCTCGGAGCATAGAGCTATTGGCTACTATATTATGTCATTCAAATGTTGCGCCAAGGATACCTGGCTTTTCGGAACCCGTATACGAGCCCCATAAATTAGTGATGGGTGGCGGAGCAGCAGAAGCGCAGAGTGATTTCCGTGGAATTTACGAGTCCGTCTCTGCTGGAGATTCCGTGGGAATTGCCTAGTGAGGCCAATATTGACTATTGCTTAAAATTAAAGTTCCTCTGATTAATTTCAACTGGTAGCAAGAAAACTTACCTTGACACCCGGAGGATTCATATTTCCCCCCCAAAATTATTGAATGATAGTACGGAGTAGTGTTAATAAATTTTCATAGAGCTCATTCAGATCGGAATGTAAAATCATATTCAGTGGAGGCCCGAAATAAACCATGCCACTGATGAATGGTCCTTATTAAATTAAGACCATGAACAGCAATTAAATGATGCTACATAAATAACGAACCAATGAACCAAGACGGCTACTCGTACTACTCGTCATGAACTTGAATTCTGATGTTCTCACAGTAAGGCAACTCACCGACTGTCGCTGCTCCGCGTTAACCTGTCAGTGTCACAAGGCGTGGGAAACTGCTTACCTCCATTGATAAGATTCTATACTTCCTAGTTCTCGAAAAGCTTACATGAGCCTACTCTCAGACTTTCTTAGCTAAAATTATCATGACTTGGCTAATCTCAGACAGCCCAGCGCTTTTAAGCTAAACTTTGTTATAGATGGATCCCACTCCTACCATCTACCAACACCAATGTTGCGCTGAAATCGCTATTCCAGGTAGCCAAGCACACAACTGGCGTGCCTAGAAATGGCCCAAGAAGTAGATTCAATTACCCGGAAAAGAGAGAAACCACAACTTCAAGTTTTTGGCACATCGTGGAGCCAAATACATTTCTCCAATCAATTTTATATCTTTGATATGCGACTAGTTTATCACCAATTGCTGCGTACACTTATTTTTCATCAACCTGGCCCTTCTTGTGATCACAAGCTCTACACAATCCCCATAGTCATCATATACGCTCAGTTGTACTTTCACGATATCAGGCGTCATGGAGAAAAGGCTCAGAAAAGATGAACAACCCAGGTGAAACAAAAATATACCAAGAGGTGCCTCCTTTCATCCGATGCGGGGGAAAGTTTCCGCGGATTTACAATCCCGGGCGACACGAGCACAGCCATCAACTCTCGATAGTATCAAGCCACAGAAGTGGTAGTTGTTACTTTTCATTTCTGGGGTACTGACGCGGACCCTTTGGAGCTTGTGTGGGGTAGAGGAGTGGCATTTTTGGCCTGGAATCTGGGGTAATATTATATTAAGAACGCATTTCCTTGTATTTTGTCCATCCCTATCCGGTCGCTTCTGCTCCGAAATCCGATTCTAGTCACAATCCCTGCCTAACGCGGTAAACCAGGTCAGCTCTCGTCATGGCTAGCACAACAGATAAAGATGCCATAAAAAGCGAGGTCAACAACTTTGAGCATACTCCTTCAAATGGAGAGATTGAGACGGCGGTATGTACGCTGTTGATCAATCATCGATTGCATACTAGAGAGAGAAAGTTTTAAGACTCATCTTCAGGGGTCGACATACGAAACTGTCGTCGTTGGGCGTACCTTGCGTAAGGTCGACTGGCGACTGCTGCCAGTACTGACAGTTCTTTGTACGTTTCGCCCCTTCAATCCCCTGACAGTGCCTACATAAATCTTCATTTCGAGGGCTAAAGAATTCAATATGACTGCAGATTTGCTTGCCTTTATCGATCGTGGAAACATTGGAAATGCCAAGGTTGCAGGCATGAACACAGATCTGGGTATGTTCTACTAGTAATTTACCGACTGTGAAACGCAATGTAACCGAGCTAATCCAATCTTAACTTCTACAGGACTCACCTCAAAGCAATACAACATTGCGCTCACCGTTTTCTTCTTCCCCTATTCCATATTCGAAGTACCAAGTAACATAGTGCTCAAGATAATGCGCCCGAGCCTTTGGATCTGTATCATCGTCTTCAGCTGGGGAATTGTCATGACTTGCCAAGGTCTCGTCAAGAATTACGACCATCTTATCGTGACTCGAGTTCTCCTGGGAGTTTGCGAGGCAGGGTTCTTCCCAGCTGCCAATTACCTACTAACAACGTAAGTCATCCTTCTACGCCAGCTTTCAAAACTAGAACCCAGCCAGTTGGTCAAGGTGATAAAGCTCACATGAAATTTTGGCTAAGGTGGTATTGCCGCTTCGAGCTTCAAACTCGCATTGCTGTATTCTTTTCTGCGGCTTCACTTGCTGGTGCCTTCTCCGGGCTACTAGCTTTTGCTATTGAAAAAATGGATGGGGTCGGGGGATATGCAGGATGGCGCTGGATTTTCATTCTTGAAGGCGCAGCAACAGTCCTCATTGCTTCGACACTTCCATGGACGCTGCCTGACTCGCCAAATACCGCCTCATTCTTAAATTCAAGGGAGAGGGAAATCATCATCACACGGCTGGAGCAGGATACTGGAACGTCATCCGGCATAGTAACGAACACTGAAAAGTTTCAATGGAAGCATAGTAAGCTGTCCGGATTCTTCCCTTGCAGAAATGCATATTCTAATGTCATTCCTCCAGTCAAAGAGGCTCTTCTTGAGTGGAAGATATACGTGGCGACAATAGTCTTTTGGGGTAGCGCGTAAGTCTGATCCCGATCGGATTTACTCTTATTATTATGAGGCTGAGCTATAGCAGGATACCCGTATACGCCTTCACTTACAGTGCACCTTCTATCATTCTCGAGCTTGGCTATTCATCGGCTAATGCGCAGCTCCTAAGTAGGTATCACGCACTTGCTGCTCACAATACCTCAACCTTTCATGTTTACGCAATATTGGAGCTCTAACAAACCTTATAGCTGTTCCAATATATCTTGTTGGGGTCGTCAGTACTGTACTTTTTGCTCGCCTGTCTGACCGATCGGCCACTCGTTGGAAGTTCATCATAATTCCGTTCATCATCGCGGCATGTGGCTTCATCGCCTTACTCGCGATACCGCACCCACGTTTCCCTGGCCTAACCTATGCTATGTTGTTTTGTATTCCGGCTGGATGCTATCCACCATTGGTCGGAGTTATGGCATGGTCAGCCAATAATCTCTCACCAAGCTGGAAGCGCGCAGTTGGCGTAGCTATCTTGACTTCGGTCGGTAACCTGGGAGGCGCGATTGGGTCAAACATTTTCATGGAGAGTCAGAAGCCCACCTATCATATTGGCTACGCCATTAGTCTTACGATCGTGGTGCTTGCAATTATCAGCACATTGGGTCTTAAGACTGCGTGGAAACGCCTCAACGACCAGCGAAGTCTTATTTCAGAAGAAGAAGTAAGACAACAGTATACAGAGGATGAGCTGCTTGATTTGGGAGATAAATCGCCTCTTTATCGGTAAGTCTAGTCTACTACTCTTTCATGCCATTCTTGGTTTGTTTTGGGGCGTTGTCCTTCTGACCTCTGGTGTGCACAGATACGTTACCTAGCTCGACTTGGTTGAGATACCCTCAAGGTTTACACTAAGGTGGTGTGAAAACGAATTTCTGGAGCATGCAGTCCACCGATGCTGTAGTATTGGAGGATCGGGCTCCGAGTCTGCCATCATTACTCCTCCATACGTCTGAAAACACCATATCTACAAACACTCAATGACTAGAGAAGGGCTCCAAGTCCACAAAAATCATCCCCATTTCTTCACCAGAGCCTCTATATGTCAAAGTCACATTCCACATAGTCGAAACGATTTTTGGGCCTCTGTCTGCCTCAAATAAAGCACCCCTTGAGACTTCACATATCCAAAGGCGTTTTCCTTTTTCGCTTCGGGGATACATGAGGATCACACCAAAACTAGAGTATAAGTGATCTCATCTAAGTGAAACGCAACACTCCCCCATTTGAGATCACTACAGTTGAGACCAAATCCTCTAGCTGAGGATAAGAAATTCTGCGCGGAACGGCCTAGCAGAAAATCAATGTCACAATTCACATGTAACGAAGCTGGCCTTTGCTTCAGATCCTTGGTCGGCTAAGGGATTCCCTTATAAGGGTAACATTACATTACCATTACTATGCTTTATTTTACTCTGGATGCCATGTGTCAGGTGGCAGCAGGTTCTAGTGGTACTTAAGCTGAATAATGCTTTGCTAATTAAAAAAAGCTTAATACCCCACAGTGGAAACTATAGTAAATGCTTATAAGATTCTCTATGTTCTACCTTCATCGTCATCATCATCATTATCATCGACATCGTCATCATCGTATATAAGCGCTGGTGTATGTAGGCAAGATATGAAGCGCCGGGTATGGATGCTTGCAAAAACAGAAAACGTCACCCGAAAAGAAAACCGGAAAAAGAGCAAAGAAAAGAAAGCATCGAAATCGGGAGATCCTGGTTCGGACCTAGAAGGCCCAGCTCCCACGTCTTTCTGGAACACCAACACCCCACTTCTTCTCCTCGACCATATTAGGTTGTTGCCGGGCCCATTCCTGAATATACAAGCGAAGAGCCTTCCATCGGGTACAAGCGACGGCGAATTCGTTCTCGGGCGCCATCACATACCCCTTTGCATCCGTGTGGAGATCGTCTTGTCTCATGTCGTCGACTGGGATACCCGAGATCTTGCTCAATTCATGGTCGTAGTATCGTGCCACGCAGGGGTATCCGAGGGATAGATAATTATAGATCTGCGTGACGAATTCGTCGTTGAATTCATCTTCGATAGAACTGACCGTATTCAGGTTGAGATTGAGATTGAGGCCGAGGCCCGGGCTCGAACTGGGGACACTACGAGGAGCGGAGCGAGCCGGGTGTCCTTGTTCTTCTCTTCGAGCTGCGCGGGCATGGGCATGGGCGTCTGGGGAAGAGCTCTGGGTGTGACTGGGGTTGGGGCTGGGGCTGAGGCTCGGAGGTATTTCATCCCGTATCATTGGAGTCATGATCCCAGTCATGATTTGAGAGCCGCGGTTATTGGTTGATTCTTCATCCTTTTGACATGTGCCCATCCACAGACCGGATCCTCGCCCGTTATCTGGCCGGCTTGGCCCGCACCAGAGGGCACCGCAGTCGGTACATGGATTTGATTCGCTCTGGCTGCCATTGTTCTTGGAGAATGACCCTATCGGAGATAGACTTTGTGGTAGGATGATATCTCCTCCTAGCATTGGAGGGGTTGGACCCAAGCGCTTTGGTTCGGAAAGTTTGAGGTCCGGTTTCCGCCGTCTGGTCATTACTCTCGAGCGTTGTTCTGCTTCTTCCTTGTGATGACGCAGGTGCTCGAGTTCCCACGTTAGATCTGCTGAAGATTGTCTCCGAGACTTGAGATGGTGCTTTGGTGGGTACATCCAATTCTCCTCTTCATCTGAATTTCTTGACGGTGCCTCGTCATCGATGGCGAAGTGATCAAAGTGCTGATAGACCTGTTCATTGGGAAACGCAGCTAGTGCCTGGTCTTTCAATTGTTGTTCGGCAGAGCGTGCAGCGAGCGAAAGCAGGTAATCGGAAAACTCGCCAGAATCACCACTTTCTTGGAGTGTGTCTCCAGTACTATTGTCCTGTTGAAACTTGGCGGTTTTAGTGGGCCGTTTTTTGGGGGACGTGGACACCGATCGAGACTCAGAAGCAGTGTCTGATTCCTCGCTGCTGTCGGACGCGATGGAAGGGAGCTCTGGCACTCGAAAGGAATGCCTTCGAGACTGGTCTTGTCGGCGGAGAAGGTTTGCATATGAGAACTTCGACTCGATTGGATGGGGAATGGCACGGTTCGGGGTTAGCCGTGCTGGTGAACGGGATCGCTCTGGTTGAAGACCGAGATGTCCCACTGGAGCTCTTGCATTGTACCGGTTAGGAGGTTGATCGGGGTCCACGGAGCGACGTTCCGTTTCAATGATCTCTGGTGTAAACCTTCTAGGCTTGGTTGAGCTTGAACCTGCACTGCTAGTCCTCGTTGTGGTCTCGATAGGTTCAGGAAGGAACCTTCTTCGAGGTGGGGGTGGGTTGTCCTTGACGTTCTCCTTCTGCTGCGGTGATGATGGAGCTTCATTGGGTGCGGCGGGGTTGGCGGTGGAGGTGGGGGTAGATGGTACTTGGGAGCTTCGGGATGTTGTCTCGATAGGTTGAGCTAGAAACCTGCGTGGAGCTTTGCAGATAGGTTCCTCGGAGGATTGATTTGTGTGTACTTGTTCTGTTTGTTGTTGTGGATCGGTGGGCTCCGAGCTATCAGTTGACCGCTGTTGTATGGCCATATCCGAAAGTGGTTGCGAGTGAGTAGACAGACAACCCATATTCAGTATATGGAGGGAGTCAGAGAGGCAGCAGAAGAAGTCAGGATCATATCCCACAAGATTCGAGATTCCTGACTTCCCCGAGAGTGCGGGGAGGAGGAAGTCAAGAGGATCTCCCGGTGAAGGAAAACAAAAACGGGGAGAAATCGGAAGGCGTCGCCGGGTCCCATGACATCACCTGATCAGAGATAAGATAAGACCCAGTCACGGGACTGGCTTACCTAAGGACCTTACGTAAGGACATCCTCTGGCGATATCAAACTTGCGATATACACAACCCTGTCGATATACACAACCCTGTCGATATACACTTCTCTGTCGACATCTGTCACACTGTGACTCTGCGATGGACAAAAGGAAACTCTCTCCTGAGAGTGCTGGTGCTGACCCTGCTGAGATCCCCCCCAAACGACGAGTCCTCGGCCCTTCCCTCCCTCCACCCACCGATCCAACCTCCAATTCAAATTCAGATGCTGCCAGTGGCAGTGATAGCGATGACAGCGACGATGACTTTGGTCCCAGTTTACCACCTCCCGCCGGTCAATCAATCGCTGCTCCAGCTACCTCCACTTCATTAGCCCAAGCGAATGCCCCCGCCAAGGAGCAAAAACCAGAGACGCAACGAGATGACTGGATGCTTCATCCACCAGAGAACAGCGACTGGGCCTCCAAAATCGACCCAACACAGCTACGGAATCGCAAATTCCAAACTGGAAAATCAGCTCGCTCGGCAACAGCGGGATCAAAAGGTCTAGATGCCGCATGGGTGGAAACGCCAGAGGAGAAATTGAGGCGATTGGAGGACCAAGTCATGGGTGTCGGAGCCCCGTCTAGCGGAACAACACAACCATCGGCCAGCAATCCCAATGCGGCCAAGGATAAGGAAATGGAGGAGAAGATCAAAAAATACAATGTGAGTTTCCTACCTGCATTCACCCAACTTCCTAAGCGTGGTGTGCTAATTTGTCCCCCGCAGGATCGTGCTACAAAAAAGACTCGACTGGAAAAGTCAGAAAGTAAGCGCAAAGAAGAGGAGGATGACCCGAGTACACGCGCATTCGACCGTGAGAAGGACATGGCTGTTTCCTCCAAGATCTCGAATGCGCAACGCCGAGAGATGGTGAGCAAAGCTAGTGACTACAGCTCAAGGTTCAGCAAGGGCAGCTATCTATGACGTTTCTATATACCCAATCCTAGTACTTCGATACCCCAAAACGCACAAATCGCCAGTCAAACAATCAACCCCAGGACTACTGTGAATCCAAGTGGTACACATGCACATCGTCAGCTCATCATGAACTCGGAAGCTCTCTCCAGAAGGGAACCCTCCTTCCCCCCCCCTCCTAGAGTAGAGTGTATCATAATAAAAAGGAAATACAAGAATTATAGCGAGTAGACCGTCATTTGAAAATGAAATCCGGCCATATCCATATCAGGGATAAGCACATTTCCATCAAAAGTGCTGCTCCAACTCGGAGTTCCCCTGATTATCTCAGATACACAATGGGCCCACCAACTTGAGGTCCATCCCTCGGTTTTCATGAGGTTCCCAGGTGGCAGTCAACGATGGAGATTGATTGCACTGATTTCAGATGATTGCGGAAACGTGGCGAGGCACTAGTGGATGGACAATAATGGACCAGGAGCCAACTATTACGGTGGTTGGTTTGAGCGTGTTTGTGGCGAGAGGGGTGTAAAGATAAGATGGCAGATGAAGGTGGACATATGTGATGGAGGAGGAAACCATCAGACTATATCTATCTACACAATGAGAACTTGAAACAGCGTGTAAACCCCTGATAGACACCACTGAAGTCATGAAAGCAATGCAACTTGAATGCAGGCAGGGGTAGACCCCGGTTCTGCATGCATTAAGTGTGGCTGGAAAAGCGTCAGTAGTTTGGAAAGAGATATTTGTATCTGAAATTCGAGAAATTGGCCCTCCTCATCATGAGTGGGTTTCCCAAGTGCTAGTAATGTTGGATAGTACTCGTAGATATATGACAAGTGCATTATAGCGTGTACCGGAAAGTTAGTATCTCCTTGTCTGTCCTGTTCTGCATCTCCTCCACAATATCTTGGGCATCAGAACCATCAGATACTATCCCATTCCGTCGATCCCTTCTTTTGTTCTCCCAGGCATAGTAAGTAAACAAACAGCCTAAGCAGAGCACACCCAGTGTTAAACCACACAGGGATGCCTGGATGCCGCTCTATTGATTATAATATGAGTTAGAAAGACAACAACACGGACATGGGATACACATACCAAGTAGACTGGTTCCTGCGAAGCGTAAAAGAATTGAGGCCCCACAATATTTCCCACGCAATATGCAGCAAAGATAGCAACACTGACAGTGCTTCTCTTTGTAGATCCAGCAACGTTAGAGGTAACAATACTCAGACAAAGCGGGATGTTAGCAGCGAATGCGGCAACAAAAGCTAAGCCGACTAGCTTGACAATTTTGTGCAAGTCATCGAGGGTATAAATCAAAACAACACCGATAACGGCGACCACGACGTTCAGAATCATGGCCATGATCCGTGATGATGGGATGTATGTAGCTATGGCGGCGGTGATAAAAAGAAATACTAGCTGGGAAAGGCCCATAGGCATCTGAAGCAGGAGGGACTCGAAGTTTGAGTAGCCAAAGCCTGCGATAATGATTGCGGAGAACTTGTGTATATGTCAGTGAGAAAATACGAGGAATATCGGTATCGGAGTAACACACGCTAGTGAGACCCCCCATTGGCAAGGTTGACGCAGAAAGTGTAAAGGACTAAACACCAGGCTTGTGGGTCCTTCGCAGCAGCAGAAACTTGACTCCATTTGAATGCTTCTGTCACTTGTGTAGTGCCTGTCTTGTTTTTTAATGTTCGCTGCACAGCAATTCGTCGCTCAGACTCAGTAAGGAAAGAAGCTTTCGCGGGAGAATCGGGAAGAATGAAGAAGAGAATGATGGCGTAGCCAGAAGTGATTCCGCCTAGTACCAGGAACAACAGGCGCCAGCTTTGGATTGCTGATGCAGAATTCCCAATGCCCCACGCAACGATACCACCAATTATGTTAGCAACACAGTTACCAATAAACCATGCTGCTTGGCTGATGGAAGATAAGGATAAGTCTGCTGTACCATACTTCCTGCCTTTGCAATTTTAGAGAGAAGGAATTCTTACCGAGCAGGCTGCTCCTCTCTCTTGTAGAACATTCCAGTAATCAGGCCAAACCCTGGCGCAACAGCAGCTTCACCGACACCAAGAAAAAATCGAACAGTCACGAGGCCCGCATAGTTCTGACAGGCTGCATGGCACATCAGGATTCCACCCCATAAAAACCTGCACACGAATAAGTTGGTGTGGACGGAAGAGTTAATTATTCGGCAAACATACACAGAAACAGCCAGGTATTTGCCCAGGGAAGGCGAATGATCAAATACGACGTGGGTCCACTCCACGCGAGATAACCAAAATAAAAGATCGCAGAGCACCAAGTATATTCCTGGCCAACCAGGTGCTGCATGTGAAAATGGTTGGTGGCCGGACAAGACGTGTTTTTCGATGTCACTTACGAGATCGCTTCGTATATTCAGAAGAGTTGCCTGGCTGAGCGCAAGTTTATCCATATATTGTAGCATGTAGCAAATTCCCATCGTTGGGATCATACTGTGAGGAGTGTTAAATTGTGAGATTTCCCTTGGGTTTTCTGTTGTTCGACCGTCCAGTACTTACAATAGATCCAGCTTCCAGAGAAGTCGACGTTCCACTTCAGGGGACGCCTGGTAGTCAGTATATTCACCAACACTGGCATCCTGTAGCGTCTCATTCGTCGCATCGGCAGTTTTCTCGTTGCACTTATACGGCTCTTGCGTTGTGCCCATTGTAAGAATGGATTAAATGTGAATGGAAATGTAGATCGAATGGACCAGTATCGAATGGTATTTATTGGTCTCGAAATCGGCAAGGAAACCCAGCGATGGAATAATTAGTGAATTTATGTTAATTACACAACAATTCAAGTCCAATCCATTGCGCCATGGCATCGTTATCTTTGGCCTGTTGACATCAACCTTCGCTTACAAGACACCGATCTCCAAGAATTTCGTTCATTCTCGCCTGAAACCCCCACAAGGTGTAGTATAGACAGAAGATAAAAGCGATAAGATTCGATTTAAAGCTGCTTCTTGTCTTGTCTATTGAGATTCCCTATCGAATGGACCTGAAGACCTCTCATTTCCCGCGGAGAGCTCCCTGGTGGTGAGTAAAAGAGAGGGACAACTCAAGTAACGGATACGGGTCGGCTAATTCGCAGATGTTGATTGGGATCAAAGAGGCGAGCTGGAAAGGTGATTTAGACACAATTCCCGGGACTTGGCAACCGTCAGCCAGGTCGGCAAATTTACAGTTCTTGATTGGTGGGTGGCAGCCTCTGTTCGAAGTATGCTAAATCCAGAACTCTAATCGTCGCCCTCACATTGGCCATCGTTATCTTATGCCGCACCATGGCGCATAAGGATGAAATTGTGAACATAGGTACCTTAAGGTAGTTAAGTACCTAGGTAGTTGCAGCATGTTAATCACAGTCTTATGAATTACAAGATACTACTAGTCAGTTAGATAATCTATTGAGGTATATTTTATGCCTGAATCGCAAACTCGTGCAAATATATATTCAAATCGGGACTTTGAGGCGTTCAAGTTCAGTTGAGCTTTGAATTCAAAGATATTTTAACAGCGCAGAGCTACCTAGGCACGTAGGTATAATCTTAAAGAGGCACGTGTACCCGCAACGAGACAAATAACTTTATTACAACAATGCTTCTGGCATTCTCGTTCCACTTAATACTGTGTTGTATCACCAATGGAGCCTCTTCTTTACTGCTATGACTACGGTTGATTATTCACAAAAATGGCTATTTTAACTATCCTGGTTTCCCCTTAGGAAAAGCCCTTGAGAATGAAGCCAGGCAGCCCGGTGAGCTAAGCAATTGCGTATGACGATGTTTGTGACTTCCTGGCAAGCCAGGGCTTCAGTCACTCGGAATCCGTATGGAGTGGACACAACCTGTGAATATATAAGTGGCAGTGAAGGTCGACTCATCAACTTGAACTATGAGTATGATATGTTACTCAACATTAGCATTCTGCGGTCACAACCTTATCATCACCAGCAGTGTCGCAAACTTTCTGGCGCTGGGCCGTCTGTGGATGGAGTTTGGAACTAAAGGCAGAATCCAACTCCTTGGTACTCCCGTGGAAGAAAGTCACGGTGGCAAGGGGCAAAGTTGGCCTATGCTGGAGCTTATAAGGGCGTCCGTATCTCTTTGATAGCGTCTGGACCTCCATAAACTGTTTGAATCTTAATGAGCGATAAATCCCAATATCTCTCTTCGGCCACAGTGGACCGAAAACTTGATTGGATCTCCTAGTGACAAAGCCGCGGGGGCCTTGATGAACGCACGCAAGGAGCTACACGTGGAGTATTTCAGCAAGAGTGCCCATGCGGGGGGGGGGGGGGATGTAGCTTGGATGGTTTATAAAATTAGAGTTGACGATTTCATGGATCTTCTTAAAAGCAAAACTCAAGACAAACCACCTATTCTCCTGATGTCCGCTCGATATGATTTCCTGGGAAAGTAAGATCGCAGTCGTCATCATGAATAGACGGATGACGACCAGTGCGGAGGAATAAGTACTTGTACATGGTATAAAACACCCAAAAGAGAGTTCTCACTTAAGCACTCTCCTCAAAAGCGTCATTATAATTCCGTGTCACGAACTCCTTATTTGGAGAGTGAAATTGATTCCCACCAAGCTGGAAAACAAGACGTCCAGCAATGGCTAGAAGTATAGCCGCATAACTTAAGTCACCAGACAGCAGTTTAAGGGTACACTTATAATGCCAATTCAAGAGATATGCCAGATGATATAAGATCAATGACATACCAGCATCAGGACCGTCTGCAGAGCATCCAATGTCGCTGGAGTTTGGAAGAGATAGGACAGCGAATTTTGTGCTTCTTTAGCACAACCACTGCCGTTAATGGCAGGCAGGGTATTATCCCGTAAATTGATGGCCGTAACAAACCCTGCAAAAGCATAAAGACAAGATACCGCATCCAGGGTTCCAGATGGATGTTCTGGCCGCCCTTATGCACGCCTGATAGTGTCGATGAACAAGGAGTCTTTCACAAGTGGGAAGATTTGATGTCGAGCTGACGACAGGAACGAGGCTAGGTTGGCTTCAATGACTTCGCTACCTGGTAATTGCGAATATTCTTGATGCCCGGGAGCTCCGAGAGAGTCGGATATGGACCTCGGGCTCGTTCCCCACGAATGAAAGAACCCAACGAATCGATCCAAGCTCGCGCTCTGGCCACAGCGCGATTCTACCCACTGCGGGCATTCGGCAGAGAAGAACGGAATGTCATTGTTGGGATCGACTCCGTCAAGCTTGACACCGGCAAAATGCCATTCACCAAGGAGAGGTCGAAGGGCATGCTCGCCGCGGGTAATCTCGTGGCAGGCGCCAATGGCTTCTCTAGGAGACGGGAGACCTGGAAATCGGTCAACATGCTACCAGGCAAGCCACAAAATCCTGTGTAACGTGAAAGTACCATTGCCTCCATGTAGGTACTCATATACAGCGTTTTCAATTCTGGCAATATGCCGTTCCAAACGTGTGGAACTGTGAACACTGTGGTACTCATCAGTATTAGCGCCTAGGCTCAGAGATAAACGGATGGTCATGCTTAAATCTTACCGATTCTATGAGGGCTTCTTTCTCTTGGCCAAAGACTTTCTCGTAAATTTACAGCGAAGGTCATGATGCATGCACCAGTTTCAACGAGGTACAGCGTCAACACATTTGATCTGATGGGTGCCACAGTCAGTCAGCTAACGCCCCCTGAACCTATAAGCACAGGGAAACCGGTACATCGAGACCAAGTCGATCTTGCGGCACTTTCAAGTTAGTCGCACCTTCTTTGCAAAATAAGAATCACAAGCCGCAGATATACGTTTCCGCTCACTCTTTCCCGCAGACTCGGACATGATCGCGTGGACTATCTTGAAATGAAGTTGACCGGAGACGTCTTCTCAATCTGCCAATAGATTAGCCTTGCAACAAATCTCGTCCAAGAATCTGACGAAGAAATTGAAAGAGCCCAGAAGCAAGCCAAAGGGGAGATTTTAGAAGGCCAATTATCCCAGGATAAATCTCTACCACTGATACCATGGTCCGATTTTCAAGAAAGGTGTCGCACAGGGCGTTGTATCGTGAGTATTTACGGTCACATTTGCGATATCACCGATTTCATGTACCATCATCCAGGAGGACAAGATATCATACAGAAGGCCATTGGTACAGACGCTTCTTCACTTTTTCAAGGGAGTGATCATTCACCTTACGCATGTAGGTTGCTTCGCTCTTTGCAGATTGCTAATACCACCCCATCCTCGATACACGCGGGTGATGCGAGAACAAGAAGTTAACTTGACAAACTGGATTATGGCCATATATGTCCCTCACAATTCAGCAGAGAGAAATTCGGCTTGGACCTAGCTAGCCCACGAACTGTTTGATGAAAATTCGAGGATAGTTTATACTTCTAGCGGATTTATCATTTTGCTCTGCCGTATTGCACCGCACTTTTAGTAGGTGCATGTGAACAATTCTATTTAAAACGGAAGACTAGGTATAGGAGGTTTTACTGGCACTAGTAGTATTATCTTTGGGCTGTCTTTTCGGTTTATTCTATCTAGCTTTCGAGACATATGTTAATTTATCCTCCGGCAGAATTCGGGTACAACCGTCTATAGTATACTATGTATGCTGGGATAAATGGAATGAGACCCATTTGACTATTTCGGGTCTTGGCAAGTAGGGGAAAATTTGGGTGAGGGCCCATTCCATTCAATTTGTTTCACATCCACACAATTTATATTATTGGGGCTGTGGGATGCCCAGATGTTGTATTTTAATCCCAATTTAGTTTTATTATATCCTGAAACTAAGTACAGAGTAATGAAAGTTGCAGGGAAATAAAATCAACTGCCAGACTATTACGAATAGAGATCATATAGCCATAGTAACGGACAGATCAGAGTGAGGTTGCGATAAATACGCTTGGGCAGATTTCATCAGAATGAAAGCGAATTCGTGAATTGTTCATGTACGGCAAATGTTGACCAATCCATACGTTTGATCAGGAAAAAATACTAGTATCAAATAAATATGTTCAAAATTCTGAAAATTACCAAGTGAGTAAAAGGCGACAATATTCTCGGCAGCTTGATATTGATTTATAAAACCAAAACTGTATAGCTCCTCCCGAAGTTTAGGCTGCTGGGACCCTCAGTCTTTTGCTATCCCTCAACTTCGTCAACTACCACCTTGTCATACTCTTGGTGAAATTGTTGATGCACCTCGCGAATTATATACTGCATAATGGATCTCTGAACAGCCGCAGATGTCTCTCCCTTCGCCGTTGTATAATGTGTCATTAGCTCTCCATGACAGATATCTCCGCCATGAGTTGCACCGGGGTAGCCCATTGCATGTGTGCAAGGAATAGCTATCACTTCGTCTGATCGATTGAAATCATACCGAACCCAGTTTGAGAAAGTGTACTGCTCCTTTGGCCAATCATCCTTATATTTGGCGCACCCATTGTATCGTGTCTCCTGAGGGCAGGTGGCCCATGCGTCTAGTAGTTCGTGGGTGCGAGCGGATTGTTGGACAACTATGAATCCGGAATTGAGAATCAAGCCACCGCGAGAGTCGTAACTCCACGCTTCGTTGACATCCTCCGGCATGGCAATCAAAGTCTCATCAGTGACACCCCATAGGTTCATAAGCCATTCGAAAGGAATATGAGGGTATGGGAATAGTGTATCTCCGTCCAAAAAAACGACAAATTTGTAATCTCGCAAAAGCTTTTGCATAGCCGGGACCTTGGTATAGCTTCCTTTTAGATCGATTTCGTGTGCCTTGACGAGCTTATAGTCATAACCATGTGTTCGTGCTATTAGATTTAGTTATCTTTCGCTTGGTAGGAAAAGGACGAATGTTCATACCGTACATATAATGATCAAGTCGACTCATCGTATCGAATGTTGCATCGTCAAGATTCAAGGGACGTCCATTCAGAATCTGGCCATTACCATGAAGAGGACGCGTTTCGACGTCGAGTATCAACAGATCGTTTCCAAGAGATTCGGTAAATCTCGGTTGTTCCTTGAGTGAATAGACCTTTCCTGTAGGACTAACAAAACGTTCGGCAGTAATAGGAAGACTGTCACGAAACATGCTGCGAAGGGCGACTTGGATAAAATTATCATTCCCCACCTGGTAGGTAGAATGGGTATTGTGGCCCCGACCAGTGTTAGGTTCACCATTAAGTAGTTTCGTTCTTGAATGGTCAGCACATACTCCAAAGAAAATGTTGAGCGATAGTACATACCTCAAGGTTCCAATCAAGGCGGCATTTTGGCCAAAGCTTGAGTAAATCAAGAGATGGATGAAGATTGTTGCTGTAGCAAAGAAGGCTAGTTTCAAGTTCCATCTCACCAGATGCACCCGATGGAGGCTATTGAGCAGGGTCATCTTAGCGACATTTAGAGTGAGAGCTCTAGAACCAAAAAATGGAAAAGAATACAAAAGTAAAGCAGTCAGAGGAAGCCTAGATAATTCTCATTTGAAAGGGAGGCTAGAAACAGAACTAACTCCTTATTTTTAAATTGTTGCCGCTTCCGGATGGTATGCAGACACTGTATGCTGCTTTCGGGTAAGTCAAAACGCTTGTCATTAACAGTTCCGTCAAGCACACTTACATTCGCATAACATATTACAGAAACTAGACAAGCATATTCTCCTAGTCAATAATTTATTCGTAGTGGATTTCCTCAGTAGCTATCAGCATTCTTTGGTCATGACAATAATTCCCAACCCTCCCGTGAACAGCCGGGATGTGGAGCGATGTTCGTCACGTGAAAGAAACGCGAACCGTAATATGCCAAGAGTCCTTTGAAGTGTACCCATTTTCGAGCTGGTACATCGGCTTTTGATCCTATGATGAGAAAGAGCATGATAGAATGGTGAAGCTGGTTTGGCACTTGACTGTACTATTTTATCACAAATCTTCAGATGGCTAACAGATGCGTCGGTTTTGAAGGACTTTATTGGGGAGCTTCTTTAACAATTTGGAAAATGGTTAGAGCCTAGGTCTGTACTGGTGATGGACAGTACTTCTTTCCATCATTCTGAACGTATATAACAATTATGTTAGGACGCGGGCGTAAAAGCCCTATGTTAATCTCCCCATCCGCCCCCGAACTTGAATGCTATCGAGGAGCTTTTCTCCGAACTCGCGGCATTTATCCTGAAGTAGTAGGAATATCCCGTGGAAATATATTTCACGGCAAGCCGACACCAGCTTGGACATTTTCAATCTCAGCTGCGCCATGTTCCAACTTCCTCCGAACAGACATCGGTACTTCAATTTTCTCGCGCATATTCCAATACTGGTTCCACTTTTGCTCGCATATGGCATCCCCACCACAGCCCGCAAAGTGAACGATGTGGTCACCCGGCTGCCAGTTCTCCCCGAGTCTATTGTAATCCGGATACGCGTTCATCGAGCGTTGAGTCGTGACCGCCGCATGATCCCGAACAATATTGTGGTACTGCCACATATGCGTCCATGCATCGTTCTCTGGAAACACCCAGTTCTGAGAGATGTAGAGCGGCTCAATCCACAGATCTAGCAACCATTTGCTCCACTCGCCCCGGCGCATCAGGAAGTTGCCCACGTTCATACCCCACGAGTCCAACGAGATGACAAAGTTAATGTCGTCGTGCCTATAGGTAGCTGGGGTGCTGTAGCCAGTCACCCGACCGCCTGCACCGGTCATATTGCGATCAAGAAGGATATTGCGTGCCATTCCCTCCTTGGATAGGACGTGGTCGTAGATGTCGAGGGTCATGTTCATGATTATGATGTCGATATCCATCCACCATACCCATTCAGCCTCCGGGTAGCGTGCGAAAGCTTCTTTGAGAACGGGGATCTTGTTCCAGTAGATCTGCTCGCCGTTAGGCAAGTTGTAGCTCGTCATGTTTGCCCACATGAAATCGAAACCGTGCATCTCGGCGTATGACTTTCGGTTTTCGTAGATCATCTCTTTGATGTGTGGTATCCCGAGCATGCGATTCGTCCCAGAACTACCGGTGACCATGACAACTTTCTTCCTTTTGAGTGACTGAGGCATCAGCTTGTCCATCACTTTCCCTTCTGCGGCGTTTGCTCCTACGGTGAAGCTGCTCTTTAATGCTTCGTATGATGACTTGCTCAAGGAGGCGCCATCCTGGACGCTCTTTACTCCGACCTCCCAGGATGGCCATTGTGGTCGTTGGGGAGAGAAGAACCTCCAGGTCAGCTAGATAACTTAGCATTAGCTGAGTTTACGGGCATTGGTACCGGTATAATCCACTCACGAAGCAGCCGGCCAAAATGGCCGCAATAATAAAGGTGCGAAGTATCCTGAAACGCATGAGCGATAGCCTGCCATCATCATCAGTTAATGCAACCATCCTTGTCCAAAGAGGAGAATATACCTGAACATGATTAATTTGACGGAGTGGAAAAACAAAAAGCGGTATCTTGTATCCCGTAACCGAGATCACAAGTCTGGCCAGTTAGAGGTTTACCGTGGACAACTGTTTGACGTATCTGCGATCTTTCGGCTGCTATTGAGTTATCATGGCGAATGGGATGAGGATGGAAAATCAGACTCCACGCTTAATAAGACTACAATGTCCAATACAGGCAGCTAAGAGCTTACTCTGGGATGTTCATGGTTTCATTGGTCCGCTCGCCTTCCGCATCCGGAGTCTTGGCATACATATCGAGTGAGATTCGATTTCTAAGGAATCGAAACTTGATCGACTTTTGAGAAAAAGAAATAGTTACTAGTAATGAGTATCAACCGCAAATTTGAAACTACTGGCCCAGAAAATATTTAGACAGCTGCAATCAACCATAAAAAGACATTGTTATTCTACTCAGTTTAGCCAAACTCGTGAACACTGCGCGATCGCCGAGCCGCTCCCGGATGATCTCCAAACACGGTCCTCTAGACACTGGATTTCTGTATATTAACATCGCCAAACCGTTAAAGCGGATCCGCATGCGCTCGTATCTTTCCCGGGATAATCAAAGCGCAGTCTGATGTTTTGCTTCCGTCTTAATTAATCAAGCACTTCTATCTTCCACCAATGTCAACGAATCTCCATTTATGTTCGCACGCAGAACACGAATGGTCGCAAGGATCACTCGCCGACGCCTCATCTTGGTGTCATTTAGCCTCGCTATTGCAGCTATATTTTAACTTACAAGATGCGCTGGATTCCCCGAGAATATAACCTACCTGATGCTCTATCAGGGATGTTTCGGCACGAGTCGCACGACGCGACCGAGCGCATAAATATCTGGCGCCAATTCCAGTCGTCGTTGATGGAACATGTGCCAAAACGCGAGCCGCCCGTGATCAAGGAGCTGACAGAGTAATTCATTGACATTGCAATGTTAGGAGGATGAATAATCAGAAGTATCCTCTCTACCCATGTACTAGTTACCTATTCGTTACTTCCCAGGAGCTTTCTGCTTGGGAAATACTGCGATTTCGATGATGTTGGGATACCAGCATTGTAGATCCATGGAGAAGAATTTTGTTCAGTACTAAGCTGCTGTAATGTTTCAAATTCTTGGCATTCTGCCTTGACGTGTACTGTGCATTCTGTATCATCAAAGGGATAGGTAGATAATACTCAGAATTCCAGACATCTCCTGTCTTGTTGATTTGGACCACATTCCCGCATTCCAGGCCAGGTGATGAGTAGCCGATCAACGCCGCACTCGGTTTGACAGATAATTGTATCTGGACTTGCAGTGACCTGGATATCTCAATTATTGCCATATTTGCCTAGTTGCTTCTGCTTCAGACCTGGCAAAATGGTTCGCGCCAAAATCAATCACCGCGCTATTTCGGAGCTTGTTTTCCATGCCCAGGTCGCATTCAGTCTGGGGACAGAATTGTCGACCTGTGATAGGTGAAAACACGTTTTAGCCCTCAGTCATTGTTCTATGGAGCTTTGCGTTATTTACCTCCAAGTCCACCCCCTTGATTACTCCCAAGGGAGTCCTTTCATTAACTGAGCTTCGGGAATATTAAATCTTGTACAACAAGAACAGCTGTAATCTGCAGGCTCGACAAGCAAGTTTAGGGATGGGGTTGGAAATATCATCAAAAGTTGGTGGGTAAAGAAAAATCATGATCAGACTGAATTGTGCTTAGACCGTGGAAGGCCCTCAGCGGGCCCTCACCAGCGGGAGTGGTGGAGGCTTGATATTTGGAGGAGGAAGGCAGATTGCCTTTTCAATGAATCTCTTCAAACTTATTGCTCTTGAATATGGTTGCAGCCGCCGGATGCGGAAGTCGAAGGGTGCAATCCGTCAAGATTTTGCAGCCCACTTGGTCCTGGGGGTATTACTACTGCTCAGTAGACGGCTCAACATGCTGGAAGAGGATGCAACTTGCTATTCCTTTACTCGCATTTGCGTTCGGAGTGACCCACGCGGCTCCCATAAATGAGATTCATTCTCGAGAGCCTGGTCGCCTTGATGTAAGATTGCTCCGTACTGATTCCAAGTAATGGTTGATCAAGCCAGGGATACCTCTTTATCAAGAAAATACTGAAACGAATGGACGCTCAGGATCCCATTGTTCGGAAGGTTATGAATACTTGGGCTCTAGGAGGATTTGGAAAGGTACCCAACAGAAAGTGATTGTTTGGATGTGAAGCTAACATGAAATAATATTTTAGAACTCCAGGTACACGTCCTGCATTTACGAAAATGTTTATCTAGAGTTTCGCTCCAGGCATGGAGCTCATTCAGCGTAGAGTTCTGTCTTTCTTCAATACAATCAGGCAACTTTCAGTATTTAGATTTACGGGATTATTTGCGGTGGAAAGTCAATCTGTCTTTGCGTCTGCTACAGGTAATAGAAACTGTCACTGATAATACAATGGCTTTTTTTCTTAAAAGATGAAAATGCTAATTCGGTTTTTCCACTTCTTCCACTCCGCGCGATAGTGGAGGACAAGCATCAACATGCATCGAATAATTACTGGTTAGGGATACCTGCTGCACTCCATCTAACGGTGTATAGTATATGCAATGCCTGTTCGGGCCTCGGAGCTGCCGTGCTATGGCGCAACGAGTCTCCTCACGGAGAAGGAAAGTGAGCCGTGCCAAGTTGTTGTTCGCGGCAGTCTATCAAGCGGGGATGTGAGGTGGTTTGGGACACTTAAATCGCTGCGCCGAGGGATTTAATGCCGAGATTGAGACTGCTATGATAGTACAGCGTGCGAATCGAAAGAGAAAGACACCAGCGAGAATAAATCGCTAGCAGCTATACATGCATCACACACCTCTCGGATCCTCCTGCCCAAACATAGCAGTCCAATACTTCTTCACATTCTGGCAAATCGCCGTCTGATTTTCCCAGCTTTTGAACTTATTTTCCAGCTTACATCCTGTCCACAAAATCTCAGCCCAAAACTCCTTTTCGACGTCTCGCCCGAATTCATTGATCACAATTTCCGGGATCGTCCACGCCCGCGTATAGCTTCCATCGTCATTGAATGCTGGGTTGACGGCTTGCTGCGAGAACAGCGTTGCCGGGTTGAACTTGGGGAAGTTTGCATGAATGAAAAACGGACGTGGCTGCTTCACAGCATCGTCTCCCGCAACGCGCCAGATTCCTTTCTGCGTCAACTTGTAGTCTTCGATGGGGTTGAATTGAACCATTGCTGACCCGGCGAGGCCTCCCTTGGTGCTATGGCCTATAGCACAGATGCGCTCGCTAACTTGGTAGAACGGCTCTCCAAGCGCTGTTGCAGCGGCTATGAATGTTTCTTTGTCGCCTTCTCCAGCTGCTCCCTGGGAGAACAGTCGGTAGTAATGTGTCGGTCCCCAGTAGTTATAGTATGCGCTGAGCAGGAGGGTTTTGAAATGAGTTCTCTTTGAAATGAGAACTTCGCCGGACTCGGTTGCTTGTCGCAGATCCATTGCAGCAACCTCTTGTGAGGCGATGCGGTAGTATAAGGGCGAAGCAGATGAAGCCCAGAAGTCAGGCCAGGTAAGCATTCCCTTTGACTGGAAGGGTTCGCGCTCGAACAACGACTCCGGTTTGGCGAGAGGGAATGCATCAGCGTCCAAGAAAAGGATATCCTCGAATGAAGAAAAGAGCATCGCGAATGGCTTGAGTTGGTATTTCTCAATTGGCCGGGAGACTAATGATTTGTCCAGGACTTGGGAGAGAATAACGCATTTTGCATTCAATGAGGGTAACACCTTGTCGCATATATACTCCTCATATTCGTCGCGGCTTGCCAAAAAGACTTCAACGGGAAGTTTTGAGCCCGTGCGACGCAGCATCCGCAGCGAAATAACCAGAACTGGTAGATATGGGCCTCCGGCGGTGCATACCAGACCCTTAGATCCGGGAACATAAGATAGACTTGGCGGGTTTGCGTTTATGGCATCCACAAAATCAGAGTGTGCTTTCGTCATGCTCCAGACGTCACGAGTCGACATCTCCAACATGTCCGGTCGAGCGTCAGGGTCCGAAGTCTTATAGCCGACTGTTTGAGCATTGCCAATTCGTCGAGGCGGATCGCAATTGGGTTCATGCTTCTCGAAGAGAGGCTGTAGCTGGCGCCAAAACTCAGTATGTCCGCTCAGGTTGTAAGTAGGCGCGTGATGTAGCGACCCAATCGAGAAGGCGTATGGTTCCGTTTGCCATGAAAACAGGTGCCAGAAAGTGAAAATGAGAAGGACTGACACCATCAAGATGCGGAGTCTGCCTGTTCCTCTGGTGAGATACATTATGACTGAATATCGGCGACAAAAGCGGCAGTGCATAAACAATCCACTGATCAGATAAACACAATAGTGTTCGAGGCGGTGACTTCTTACACCACCATGGATCGGTTATGCTGGGCTATCGAGAACAAACTTGGAGGATTGGAGTTTACGAAGACTGCCGTAATACATCTTTGCAGGAAGGGGGATGGGGGGCGCCCTCAATTCTACCCCGGGATTCATCTCCGGATTCAAACATCCGCTTTCGTACCGGGACATTGCTAATGTATACAAACAAAACACCCGACCGCATGACCTAGCGGCAAAGTAATAAAATACAGATAGACCGACCGAAAACAATTACATATATGATTATTTTAGATATCATAGGATATTTCCTCTGCAGATTTGACTTGCTGTCTCAGGTATCACCATGCGACCGGATGCGGAATATAAGTGGGGAGAACATTAATACTAGCCCTCGGGTTAATCTGCAATCCTTTCACTCCGCTATTCCTTTCTATTCTGTATTCATATTAAATTCCGGTCCCTTAGATTGCCCCTCTGCTATCGACTCTTCGAAAGCTGTCATGGTCTATCATGAACATGTCCCTCACCATCCACGAACACGCCTTATCCGGATCCAGTGTAAATCGAAGCACGGTTCTCAATGCAATGGTCAACAGCACGGGCAGTGGAATTTTGGGCTACCGTACTATTGCTACATGCAACTCCCAGGACACCAGCTTTCGCATCTCTAGGAACTCATGAGGCATGGGCGTGAGAAACTTCCTTATGCGCTGCGGCGGCTGGAGCGAGTGGCTACTGAATTTGGCATCTGAGGATTGAATCGCTTACATCGCTCAAATTGGGTCTCTTCCGGGGTGATTCATGAAAGGGTATGTAGGAACACCGTATTGTGCGACGCCATACATCATTTATGACAATGCACTGAAAGAGAGACAGAAATTAGAAAAGGAAAAGGAAAGCCTAACCGTTCTAGTGTTGTGTCCCAATCGTTGGAATGTATACCAAAATAAATATTGGAAAGTCCAAAATGTAAGGGCGTGACTGATTAACACATTCATCAGTACAAAAATGGGTTGAGGGGAAGATCCCTGTATGTGACGTGTAGAAATTCAGATCCTTGACAATACAAAGTGGTGGTTTGGTGGCAGAAAGGGATTCCAGCAAGCGGTGAGGGAGAATCGATTCCTGAGCCAATCAGAAGGCGCAACTAGCGAACACCGCCAACATACATATGAATTCCGCATAGCGGAAAGTGATCAGCACTTAAGCTTCTCGAAACGGACTCGGGATTTTCCACAGCTTGCCGCAACCAACCCCTGTAAGTTGGTAACCGAAGGGGCAAAAAACAGTTAGGCCCTCGATGACTGGAAGGACAACAAATTTCATACAGACTCAATCTATATATTTCGATTGGAGTTTCAGTTGTTTGGTTTCGCAATTCCAAGGTTGTATCATCACAACGACTCTATCAGTTCTCCCGCCACAATATCTTGTCTTGCACCGAATTGCTGCACCCGGAGCTCGGCAACTGAGTTTTGAAACGGAGCGCCATGTTATATGCTTGCATTCGGAAGCGGACTCTGGCTATGTTTATTTATACTTATGTGTTTCGCACACAAAATCCATTGGGACGTAAAACCTTGCTGCACCTAGTTGCGGCTCGCGACTTTCGGGACATTATATTTCATTCCACGGTCCTCCGCTATCTTCAAAAATGCGATCCAAAAAGCGAGCGGATAATTGGGTCGATGTAAGTGGTTTTGATCTATTTCCCTAAAATCTGATCTCTGGACTTATTTGCATCCTAGGGACTCCGCGGGATCGCAGCCCTAATGGTCGTGACATACCATGTGTGCTCGAGCTTTGCAGCATGGCTAAATTCACCAGCCATGAATGAGCAGGGCACTGCCTTACTTTTCCAATATCCATTTTTCCGACTCGTGGTCTCCGGTCGATCTGCTCTTGCGCTCTTTTTTATAATCACTGGCTACGTGAACTCGTTCAGGGCCATAAAAGAGACTCGCGAGGGAGATATGGAGGGTGTCCTCACAAACCTATCCCGCAACACAATTGGTCGGATTGGCAAGCTAATTGTGCCTACTAATGCTGCTATACTTCTATCCTGGCTTGTCTGTCAATTGAATGGGCATCGAATAGCAAGGGTTGTCGAATCAGCTTGGATCCAACGGGTTTCTTGTGCTCCAGGACCTAGCTTCGGAGCATCTGTCGACAAATTGCTTCGAAATTTGACACTATTCTGGCATGATGGCCAGTCTCCATATGATGGCACGTACTGGACGATTCCGTTTTTTCTCCAAGGCTCAATGGCCGTTTATCTAACGCTGCTCGCAACGACTTTCGCTCGACCACGATACACAAAGGGCATCATCATTTTCCTTTACCTGTATTCTTGGGCAGGTGGACAATGTAAGTTTTTTAGAAAATGAAGATACTTACCGTCGCTTACATTATTAAACAGCTCTTGTGGAAACAAACGTATATGCAGGCATGTTCCTTGCCGAGCTGAATGCTGACTTTGGAGCCCATGCCACCTCAGTAATGCCCCGCGCCATTTCAGCACTCATGGTCGTCTTCGGTTTATTTCTCTCGTCAATTCCGGAGGATAATGCGGACTGGATGCCATGGAGCCGAGGAATTGTCTGGGCTGCGAGCATGATCGTTCCCGCCGGTGGCGAAATCAATCGCTATGTGGTGTCTGCAGGAACGACTGTGGTCATGTACGGGGCTTTCTTTTCTCCCGATGCGAGACGTATTCTCTCCCACCCTGTGATGAACTTCCTGGGTCGTATCTCATTTCCAGTGTATCTGCTTCACAATACCCTGATTCGTACGGTTTTGTCTTGGATGGTCTACCGGTATGACTTCATGATGCAGGGGTTGCACCCAGTGGATGACAATGGAAATCCCAGATGGCTAGCACAGAGTGGGTTTGTATCATTCTGGACGTCCATCCTGGTATTCTATGTTTGTTTGCTTTATTCGGCACATTTGTGGACGATCCATGTCGATCCTCGCTGTGAGACAGTGGTGATTTGGATGTCAAACCGGGTGCTTGGCCATCATAAGGAGCACACGCCCACGAAGGACGGCGTGTTGGTTGGAACTCCTTTAGCCAAGTGGCAAATAGAAGATAAAAGATGATGTTTCTTGCACGTTACTTCAAACAAGAAAAACTCATCCCTGTATCCTATATTTTTTGACAACTAGCTGGAATTCAGTTAAGATCTTAGCTTACAAGTGTAAGGACTCGAGATGAAATAATATTCATGTAGTATTGACGAAAAGTAATAAGGCCGAAGAAAGGAAAGAGAGGTAAGCTCTCGTACGATTATTATGGTACAGATGGAACAGACGGTTGTAGTTACGTAATCAGGCATATGACTCCGACAACATCGGTTCGTTACACTACCCCCCTCTGAAGAAGCATAGCCTCTACGCTTTGTACTACGTTGATTGTTGAATATAGGTAGGTTAGCAGGTTTATTATTGTTGTTGTTATCTTTAATAAATTTATTATTCTCAGCAGCTTTTTACTACAGTAGTGTCACGGGATTCTAAGTATACAACACCCTAGGCACTCAACGCTGATCCGAAGCTGAATCTCCTTCGAGTTACCTATATATCGAGGCCCACCTGAACCCTAGTATATTTAAGATCCTATAAGTATTTAGAATTCTTAATCTCGTTAAGAATCAGTCTGTATATTAACTGTCTAATCTGATCTCTACTGTCTAATATCCTTGCCTAGTCATAGGTCTCTAGCCTAACAACTTAGTAACCATTACACTGTAGTCTTAAGATCGATTTGTATATCTGGCACATATATTCCTGGCCTGGCTATTATCAGGGTTCCTCGGCATAAGCACTACTGCTTTATTGCTTATAAGCAGCGCAGCCCTAGTCCCTATAGTGTGCCTAGTATGTATACTATTATTGCTAATTCTGCAGAGTATAATTTCTGCTCTACTCTTATACCCAGTATAATAGAGGAGGTATCTAGTCTTAGTTTTCAATACTGAGATGATTACTTCTTAATTACTATACTAAATTCTACTATCTTATTTTATGCTAAGCTGCTGATTATAATCTGTATAACTCTATCTACTTCAGTCTATATCTCTAGTAAATCCTAACTATACTCCTGTATATATTCTTCCTATAGTACTAATATAAATAGATTAATAGTTCTCAGTATCTCTATCTTGATATTTTTTGGTATATCTGTAATGTGATATAATAGTGAACAGTAGCATTATCTAAATTTCTTAATCTGTACTATACTTCTGTAGAGAGTATTAGTTACTAGTAGGGTACATATATCTGTCTATATCTTTATAGCTTATCTCTAGAGTCAGTATTATACTATGGTAATATAAGCTTTTGCTTCTGCTATACTCATCGTAACCGTAAGGAATATTCTGATAATAGCTTATAATCCTATTCTTTAGACTCTGTTAATAGGCCCTATAATCGTATTTTTAAAAGTATATATCTAGATATTAGAGGTGTAGTCTACTACTAGGGCTATATTTAATACAAAAAGCTGCTGTACTGTTGCTAGAAATAGGTCTCAAAGTCATTAAAGCTCTATCGCTGTCTCTAAGCCCTTAGACGCTGCCCTGTCTATATAATCCTTACATTTAAGTCTAGTATCTATTATAACGCTAAGAATATTAATATAGTCTCTGGGTACAATAGTCTCTCCCTTAATAGTAAATAGCTCTGAGTCTAACTTATAGGTCTTAGGGGCGAAATATATAATAGCGGTTTTCTCTGCTTCAAAAGTCGCTCTACTCCTCCTTTCTTAGTTAAGCGCTTTATTGACGATTGCTTCAATACCTTCCCAGTTACTTTACACAGTTGGCCTGGTTACCTACGCGGTGAAGTCATCCACAAAAGCAACCGCTCCTCCCTAGCCGTCGATCTGCCGCTATACGAGGTCTGCATTAAAGAAGAGGAAGAGGATCGGGGACAGGGGTAAGCCCTAAGGCAGTCCAGCCTGTAGGAGACATTAGGCCTCAGATACTTGCCCATTGATTTAGATGGTCGCCGTTCGCTCTTCTATAGTACATACAGGAACCAGTATACTTGTCAATCACCAGACCTAAATCATATACAAGATAACATAGTATTTTAAAAGGCTAAGTCTAGATCTCTCAAGAAATACAGTAGAATCAGAGAGTAGACGAAATTATCTAGAAAATGTTGGTTTACGGTTCCAATGAACCGGCAATCGTCTCAAAGGTTTATTTCTCCTCAGAGGATAAATAATTAATAAGTAAGCACAAATATAAGTTCGATCAGTATGGCCACTATTGAAGCCAATCAGTGTCAGTAACCAGACTGTTTTATAAAATTCATTCGGCCTTACTAACGATATCCTAAAGCGGAGGGATTTCATAAGGTCATAACCGCCGCTCTAATTAGCACCTAACTCTTCGTTTTACATACAAATTCAATAGACCGAATAATTTTGCTAGACAGCTTAGTATACACATAATTAACTGACCTTAATTATATATATATATATCAGCGTTAAATTTTAATATTATCACTTAACTCCGCTTCACTTTTCGTCCCTGTTTCGTTTCTAGGCCACCGCTTACGACCGTACGTTACAAGCACAACCCCAACAAGGTTTCTTAGGTAGCTAACGGAATGTAGACTAGCGTACCTCGCGATAAAGTTCAAGTTAGATAAGTATGTAGCCTGCGAGCGCCATATGCGGGGGAATCTGTTTTCATACAAGGCAGCAACTCAAACTATTAAAGGATAGGTACGCTGAAGCCCAAAATTATACTTAGGTAATAGACCCGCGAATGGGATTTTAGACGCAGAAGTAAGTGTGGATATAATCCATGGTTCAACTCAGGTAGTGTCACGGGTCCATTCGTTTTTCGCGTTTTATTTATGACTTCAACAGAATTAATATTGCGTAAGTCGTGATCTACACTTACGGTTAACTAGGAGGTCTGCCGCTAGATTATCTGAGGCGGTAGGTAACCCTGGGTAGTTGGCTAGTTTTAGGAGTGGCTTCTCTAATTTCCCTTTATAAGATAGTTTGCCGCTGTCTGACATTTACTGTAACGAACTGGAGTTGTTACCATTCGCGGATGCCTGACGTAGATGGCATCCACTTAGGCATCCACGCCTACATGTACTTAGTTCTATCTCAGCTTCCTTCTTCTTCTTCTCCTCAAGCTATTACTTTCGTCGAACAGCTACTGTTTCCTTTGCTTCGTATGCTACGCCGTACGTTGATCTCTGTGAGCATCTGAGCATCCTCACATTTGAGGATTTTAAGTACCTAGAGAGTTACGTTCACTGTCTCAAGTAGCTCTTAAGCCTATTGGCCCAGTCTGTAAGGGAAGCTATAAGCTTAATGTTTAATCTGTACTTATCCTCTGGGGAAGATTACCTAGAAGAAGGGAAGTATATTATCCAGACCTTAGGGTCTACCTTCTGATACCTGTGTATGACTGTAGCAGAATGCCCTAAGACTATATATCAACAGTTGTGGCACTATACTATACAATATTATCCTCTAATACCCCTGGACCCTCCGAACAATGATTATCTGCTGGCTAAACTGACTCAGGCTAATCTTTAGTTTCCTATAAATTAACGGGCTGCTGAACAGTTCTCCAGATCACGAAATCGTACGATCAACCCTTCTCTAGGCCCGAACGCCAGGCCGATATCGATACGATGACTAGAAGTTTGATGTTCTGGTGCGTCGGATTGTGGATTGTTTTATGTTGTAGTTCAGAGGTATGTTGACAGAGTTATTGTACATATACGTTCAGAGGGAACATTGAAGCTATATATACAACAAGAGGATCAAATTGATTTCCAATCAACCTGGTTCTTCGTATACATACTTCGGGATTAATTCCGATGGTTCGGCTTGGTCCCTGATCTGCACCAACCTCATATCACAACAATGAACACTTTTCTGGGAGAAAGGCTAACCTGCTTCAAAGCAGCAGCTGTACCTCCTGAGGACAACGCATCGCTGCCACAGAACAAGTTGATAGGTAGATGTATCTCATATGGTGTAACACGACGCTAAACGCACAGCTGAGATAAGAATAAAAACATACATGCAGCCGTCAGCCGCAAAACGCGTGAGAGATCAATCAGTCAATCAATTAATCAACCGTGTACCCGCCAAGAACCCACAGGCGGGTAAAGAAATTGAAAACCCAGCCAATGTATATCACGTGATCTAGGTCCAACTCACTGCGAGGGATCGGGCTAAATGACTGGTGACATGCACGCTGTGGCCCTGAAACGCTTAAAGAAGCGAAAAGCAAACACGTAGTGTTGCGCCGTAAATAAGGGATCATGGAATTGAAAACGAGCAATGAGAGCAAGGCTCGTCGCAAAGAATTGGTACAGTACTAGGGCTGTCAGAACGCTCCGAAGCTAGCGGCTTTTTAAGTTTTTTTTGGGTCCGATTCAGGAGTCCGCCATTTTTGGAAGATTTCCCACTCAGTCCCTCAACTTCGTCCTCCTGGGAATTTCATTGCAACCTTTCACCAGATAAACAGTTCTAGCTTCAGTGGCATTTCCAAGAGATGTCACAAAAATTAAAAACCAGCCAGCATGCACTTCACAACTTTCTGCCTGAACTTCAACTTATAATCGTGCGCTATTTAGACTTCTGGGACAAAGCTGCGCTGATTGAAAGCACAGTATTGGCACTAGAAGTTGTTGTTGGAACAGAAAATTTGAGCGACTACGATAAGGATGGCAATACCCTTCTGCATATCGCGGTCAAACAAAATTATAAAAGAACAACAGAGTTGCTAGTTTCTGCTGGTGCACAAATCAGTGCAAAAAGCGAGGTGCCACAAGACCACACAGCAACTCCATTGGCACTCGCTTCAGAACAAGGGAACTTGAATATAGTTAAGATACTCGTGAACAGTGGCGCAAGTATCGATGAGTGGAACTACAGCGGGGTATATCCACTTCATCACGCCTCAGAAAACGGGCACACAAGCATAGTTCAGCTTCTTCTGGAATTAGGGGCCACGCAAAAGCATAGCTATGATTTGGGGACTCCACTTCATCTCGCCGCCAGCAACGGACACGCAGATGTGGTACAACAACTGCTAACCTATGGCGCGGAAATAGCACCGTTACGCAGAGGAGTAACAGCCCTTTGGCTTGCTGTGGCGAATGGTCATCTTAATTGTGTCAGAATTCTTCTAGGGGCAGGAGCAGCCGAAACCGAGCCTCCTCGTTCTGCCTTAGAATGGTCTCTACTGCATCTGGCTGTTGGAGGACCCTACTTCTCACAAGCTATTGGCATGGCCTACGAACAGAGTATCAAAGAAATTTTACGTTTTCAAGTTCCAACTTGGAAAGGAGGGGAAAAGGAATCCTGGGCTGGAATCATACGTCTCCTTATTACATCAGGTGCTAATGTTTCTGAAGAACTTGAATCAGTTACTCCACTGCACCTTGCTGTTCTTGTCGGCAATTATACTGCTGTGGAGTTTTTGCTAAATGCTGGAGCTGATATTTATTCAAGAAATAAATACGGACGCTCGGCGCTTATGTTTGCCGGTTTGTTGGGCTTCGAAGATATTGGCTCTCTGCTGTCAAAGGCAAAGAAAGCAAGGCCAAATGAGAAGAAACCAGTGATAGGACCTAAACCGAAATTAACCATCAAGATGTGATCGGTAATATTACTTTTTAAAGGGTTAGCTCTGCCCTTATTTGTTACATAGCAACTTGTAAATGTGTAGAGCGCCCTGTATCCCATATCTCGTTTCCAAAAAAGAATGCAATGGACAAACACTGTCCTGTCAGTCTCGATATGACTGTGGGAGCCAATCCTGTGTATTTATAAATAACAGGCATCTTGGTGCCTCGAGTGAAATACGATGCCACCGATGACACGGAAAAAGTCGAAGCGGCAAAAGGTCTTTTTCGAGGACGAGTCTACGCCTTCTAATGAGCGACTGACAAGACCCGCGATATCCAAGAGAATTGCGAGAATGATCAAGCTGCCGATCAGTCTGAGCAGGAATACCAATATTCAATATATATAAAAAGATTTCATTGTCTAGAACTGCGTATAAAAGCTGTGGGCTTGCTGACAAGCAATTACACGCGCATGCGTTGATCTAATTAAGCTATTAATTTTATTTTGATCTAGGGTATCCTATACCTTAATTATCGTCTTTTTGAATAGCTTCTAATCAGTGTCAGAGGTACCATAATTCAAAAGATTAGGGTATAGCTTATATAATTTGCGTTTGAGTATAAGCTATACAGGTTCAATTGGGCTTAGATCGCGCGAATATACAGACTATCTAATACCTCAATACTGTAACGTTCAAACTACTCTTGCGTGCTATATGAGTAATAGATTTTAGCGTTATCTTACTGAAAGATAATTCCAGGTTTGTAGTATTAAATAAAACCTTTTTCTAAGATATTGTAACCCCAGTGGGGGATCTACTTGTCTGGAAGACGAGTGCTGAGGAAGATGTCCATATTACTTCCGTCGGGAAGGTAACTAAGTAGTGCTAGTTACGTGTGCTAAAGGCTAGATGTGTAATATGACCCGGCTTGTGAAAAAGACGGCGTGTCCTCACGCTGAGTTAGCAATAAAGAAAAGAAAACCTCGATCTCTGTCCTCTGTCCTATCTAGACGTCCTGTTGCAGTCCCTACTCCGTTGCGAGTCTCTCGACCTTATTCTGCTTCTTTATCGGTTGTCCTCCGGTGTGCCGTAGGCTAGGGCTTATATTCTTGATTTTGCTTATCTCCTTAGCGACAGAGTTTAGGAAGTAGAATCGGTGTGCGTAGCGCAGGACGTTCTTAGGCAGTAAGGCTTTAGTCTCCGTGTACGCTGATTAGAGCTTCTGGAAACGTTTGTCTCCGGACCGTGGCGCTTCGGACTTGCTAAAGATATTTTTTATCTCGTCTTCTAGTTCGTTGCCTAGGCTGTCTAGCCCTTCCTCTATTATCTTGTCTAGATCCCTAGTTGTAGGGTGCTGGTCTGGTTGTTTACCGGTAGATACCGGTCCCTAAGTCCTTACGGTTCTCGCTGGCTGTGTATATCTCTAATGCTTAGCGGGGCGCCTTAGTTACCGATGCTTTTAGTTTCTTAGGGGATGTAACTACTGTCTGTACAGGGGCCTGTCGGGGTATCTTTTTCTGTAGCTTTGTCTTACTTAGTCCGGCTACCGGCTTCTGTAGCTTAGCCTTCTTCTAGGGCTTTGTCTGCGCAGACTTAGTGGTTATAGAGGATACGGTCTGTTTCTGTCCCTATTTCTCTGTTCCTTTTGCTTTGTTTTGTGCCTGAATAGTACTCTTAAGGTTTAATATATTAATATTATTATAGACCGGTCTGTACTAGATATGTTCCTAAGATCCTATAAGCGTCGGTTGAACGAGGTATCCTGTATGGGTATAGAAAGGGCCCTAAGATTTAACCTTTGGATAGTAGAATTTCTCCTTACAGGTAGTAAAACGTCTTAAGTTATATATCTTGTGTCTGTTGATATTGGTTAAACCTAATATATCCCTCTGTATAATTACGCAGAGATTATTATGGTCGTTAGTTATATAGATCCTAGTACTCTTACCGGCTTTACTAGGTAGGGGTTTATTATCCTAGATTTTCTGGATATTCTTAGTAAAAGATATAATATAGTAGCGGTCGGCTGCTATAATTTCTAGCTACAGATTAGGGCTAAATAGATGTTTTATCTTATGTTATAGCTTTAATGTCTAAAGGTACTATAGGAATCTGTTGTCTTCTCCTACTAGGGTAATACTATAGTAGACTAGAATCTATAGAATCCTATACGCCTAGATTACCGGTTCTAGGCCCTGGTTAGGATAGTCTGTCCTAAGGCTACTGTTATAGGTAAAGTCGTATAGCTACTAGATCCGGAGTTGTCTTACTAGGTATATCTTTACGATATAGTATACTATCTTATCGGTAAGGTATATAAAGGAGGAGAGAAGAATCAGACCCTACTCTCTAGTAGGCAGACAGATAAAGTATAGGGCCTGTACCTATACTGATATTTGCTCGACGGTCGGTAGGTTCTTTGTCTCTGGTTTATATTGTAAGACTAGGGCTCGTTTCTCTATCTATATCCGGTAATAGTTTACTGCTGCCCTGTATACTATATATACTTACTAGTCCTAGTACGATTACTTTCTAAGTATATTTAGTATAGTAGGACTGTCTTCTGGTTTACAGAAGTAGTTTTATCTGCCTAGTATTTATAGAGCTTTAATCTTCTTCTTAAGGACCTTATCTAGTATATCCTAGACGAATTTACCTTCTAGCTTCTCTGATTCCCCAGAAGCCTTAGATTCTACCTTATCCTTAGGGTCTGATTCTTCCTAGCCTAGGTCTATAAGCTCTTAGGGGAGGGTTTCTGCTATAGGATCTAGCTTACTCTAGGTACTGGTCTCTGTTATTTTTAGTAGTACTAGAGTCTAGTAGTAAGAGTTTAATTATAGAAACTTAGATCTGTAATAAGGTAAGGAGAAAATTAAGGGTTAGTATGGTTCTGAGGTAAAGTTAAGGATAGAAGTTTATAGACGTAGGTTAGGGTAAGAGTTAGGAAATAGAAGAGAAGATAAGGTAGGGGTTAGGAGATAGGAGGGGAGACAAGGAATTAAAGATAGGGTAAGTTATATTAGTAGTCCTTGATAGACATCGCCATAACCCATTTTGGGTTGAACATGCCGACCCAAAACCTAACCCACTGGGTTTTGGGTTATAGTAGCTAGAATCCAACCCAACCCAAAACCCAGTGGGTTATAAATAGGTAACCCATTTCGACCTATTTAGACCTATTTTAGCATAATTCTTTTATAATTTTTCATAATTTTTATGTACTGTATTCGAATACCAGTTCTATATCTTTTTTTCTAGAAGGATTTAGAACTTAATATTTTATATATAGCTTTTTCTAATATTAATTGTTCTATATTTAAAACTTAGGATCTAAATATTAAGTATTAAAAAAGTTATTAAGAAAGTAAGACTTTGTATAAAAATATATATATAATCTAGTAGGGAATACCACTATCTTTACTATAGAACTCTGTAATTTATTTTATTTTTTAATATACTATTTTTAACCTTTTTAACCTGTAATATATATATTTTTAATATAGAATAATAATATTATTAAATAAAAAGCTAAAAATACCTATATATAAGGCCCTAAAACAGCTCTGATACATACAGTATTTGAAGGCTTGGCATATTTGTCCTGTTTACACCAAAATGGGGACCCACTGGGTCCCCATGTGGGTTTTTGGTTAAGGGCCTCAACCTAAAACCCATCAATGGGTTATAGAATTAGACCCAAAACCCATTTTGGGCTGGGTTGGGTTGGGTTAGGTCATGGTTGACATGGGTTCTGGCGATGTCTATTTGTACTTATCTCAACAGGTTGAAGCAAATTGACGAATACGAATAAGCAAATCTATATTCGTGTGCAGCCCTACAATGACAATGGTAACCCCTTCCACTTCGTTCCTTCGTTTCAGGGCACTACTACTCTGTATACTCAAAAGACATAGGGTATGAATAGTTGGACGCCTCGCTTCGCAATTACGTTGCAGAGGTATCCGCCTGTCCGTGCGATCCGTAATTCCATATTCCCCATCAATAGTTTAAAACTACATTCTAGAAACTTAATAACGTTGCCCCAGGGGTCCCTCGCATAGGCAGCTTTATATCCGAAAACGGTTAGCATTTTCCCAATGAGCGTTCTGCCTGCCTTCTCGACCTTAGCAATTATATCATCAATACAGGGCACCGTAACTGCAATATGAAATACGCCCCCTCGCTTCTAGTCGCGCTCGAAGTTTGCCTCCTCGCTAATCTCAATTTCAGGTCTTCGAATTCTAAGAGCTCGAGGCCGACACCATTACCATAAGTAAGAAGAACAAGTTTTACAACCTACAGAGAGGCAGGATAGATATCAAAGATCGGCGCATCGGGTGTAGCGCTGCGGGAGATAGTACTTGGCGGTGAGAGGATGTGGAAGCCGAGGATGCTGGTGTAGAATTACATCGCAGTTTTAAGACAAGGGACAGAGAGAGCAATGTGGTTAATGGGATGATTGAAGGGTTTCAGCTGGTAGTAAGAGGTATTCGAGATGAAATTTGAGGTGAAGGAAGATGATACCTACAACGCTGGTCATCTTGGAGGTTGATTAGGCACCAGGGGAGGCCACAGCTTTATCAAATTGTTGCCTATTTCTTTCGAAGGGTGGAGAGATATAGATTGGGACTGGTCATTGCCTCGTTTATGTACTACTAGCTCATGGTCATTCGGAACCGGAATATACCGTACCCGAATACTGGATCCGAGATAAGGAAAGGATTTTATAGCGGCAGAGGTCCCTACTCAACCGAACTTTTATGTACGGAGAAGCTTTCAGTCTTCCGGAACAGACCGAGTCCGAGATAATTATCCAGTCTGCTTAGCCCAATTCAGCATTATCAGCGATGAAAAACGTTATGGTGTTCTAGTCATCCTCATAGTCCACCTTATTGTGATGAAATGAGTGCAGATAGGAACAAAACTATTCATTGTTTATTTAAGAATATATGAGGCTTTATATACAGCGACAAGATAAATATGATTTTCAAACAGCTTGGTTCTTCGTATAGAACACCTGAATCATTTCTGATAGTGCGGCTTTGTCCCTTGTACACCAGCAATCTCGCATCTGGATGAAGTATTCTTCGTTATTCGCTCTAAATTGACTGTTTTTGCAGCGTCTACCAGAACTCCAGGGCACTGCAAGTGCCCCTGGAAGCGGAAGGCTCCGGGGCCTTTCCCAGCCCTCGGCTGCCTTTCTAGGCGATATACTTAACAGTTGTCGGGCGGGTTTTCTAGAATAGCCATATTAGACTGTTTTTGGTCAAAAATGTGTAGGACGTAGTGAAAGATCTCGCCGCTTACGGATGTCGAGCCCAGACGGGACTTGAGATGGGCTCGCCGCATCCTAAGATATTGACTCGTGCGATTTCATTTCAGATGAAATGTGTAAACTGAAGTACTTGTCGTCTCTTTATCATAGGCTACAACAATATCATGTTGGACGTCAAATTTAGTGCCGAACAAGAACTCCACAGTTTAACCGCTTTCTCACGGCCAGGATTTCCATAAGGAGACAACGCACGTCATTAGGTGTGTAGACCATGTTCGACTAAGAGTTAGATCTCGAACTAAGTTTCCGATACCAGAAGCTCCTGTAAAATATCGCGCCAAATTCAGGTCTGCTCCTATTGCCGGATTCTTGGCGGCCGACCATTCCGGAGGGCAAACGATAAACGATAAGCGGTAAACGAGGAACGATAAACGAGGAGCGATAAACGAGGAATGGTGAAAGATCAACAGTGGTGGATGATAATAGTCTCCACAGCCAAGAGTATTTGCGCCATATGCAGGAAAAGCGGGACTCTATGTGAGCGGGTCGAGGCCCCGAAATTATGCCGAACGGCCATTTACTCCGATGTCCACGCCGATGCCGACGACCGCCCCGCTGATAGTTCTTAATGTCACTATAATCTGTTGGTAAGCGACCATGAGAGGGAAAAGTGGCCTTTCATTTATCATGGACTACCCGGTAAAAATTCAATCGCAATTTCTCCAAATAATTGGGACACCATAACTTTTCTGTTATTAGATGCTACAGAGGCCGCATCCTGGAGATAAAACCAACAGTGCACGGCGATACCCGATCTTTGCTTAACTTTTACTTTGCTGACGAGCAACCTGCGTATTTTTTTCCCGCAATGGTTGTGCCTCATCTTAGCAATTCCCCCGAGATCGGGTACATGCCAGACCGCGATAGATACCTAGCACGCCGACAACAAAGACAAGCGACTGAGAATCTTGACAAAAAACTTCTCGAGGGATTTCCATCGCAATTAACTGGCAGCCTTGTATGGAATCCCGAGAATCTAACCAATACCTACGACTGGAACTACCATCTCACCACCGCGGATCTCGAGGAGATCAATGCTGCCCTCCGGCACTTCCAGGGTATGATTGTTTTTGAAGTGAATTAAATTGTCAGCATGCTCATACTAACTCGCCAATCCTTGGATAGCATTGAATAGGCCAATGGGCGAGCTCTTGCCTGCGACATTTCCCTTGCCCAAGCTACACAGTGCGTTGCGCGAAATCTCCAACGAAGTTCATAATGGACACGGTTTCAAAGTCATTCGCGGCCTCCCAGTGGACAATTACACTCGTGAGGAGAACATCATCATTTATACCGGCTTGTCATCGCACGTTGCACCAATACGTGGCCGCCAAGACAATAAATGGCAAGGCAAGCCTGCTGATGTCCTTGTTGCCCACGTTAAGGATCTCAGTCACGGCTGCACTAGCAAGGAAATCCCCGGGCCCGTTGTCACCGCAGACAAACAAGTATTCCATACTGATGCAGGCGATGTTATTGCACTTTTCTGTCTCAGTGAAGGCGAATCTGGCGGCGAGAGTTTCCCTTGCAAGTACCTGCCACGTGTATAACGTCCTCGCTTCTACGCGTCCTGATCTGATCAGAACTCTTTCCGAACCTTGGCCGTTTGATGAGTAAGCTTCCCGACCCTCTCCCGCCTCGAACTCCATACCAAACTAAAGAAGAGGAAACTGAAAAATGTGTCCGATCCTAGCTTTGCCCCGACTGAGGATGTGTACAAGTTGCGTCCACTGCTGTATTATCAGCCTGCAACTAAGACCGACCTTGAGCGGCTTATCATTCAATATTCACGAAGGAACTTGACGGGCTATTTGGAATGCAAGCGGTCGGCGAACATTCCACCGCTTACTGAAGCACAGGCAGAAGCGTTAGATGCTGTTCATTTCACAGCTGAAGAAAACGCCATCTCGCTGGACTTTCATAAAGGCGACATCCAGTTCGCTAATAACTTGAGCATCTTACATGCCCGAGGGGCGTTTACTGACTCTGCTGAGAAGCGGTGAGTGTCAAAAGGAAATAAATCGTCGAGGAATGTGAACTGAATTTCTTTAGACGCCACCTTGTTCGGCTTTGGCTGCGTGATCCCGAATACGAGTGGACGAAAGCCAGAGATCTGCAGGAACGATTTGATCGGGTCTATGCAGGCGTTACAGTTGAGAATTCGGTATTTCCCCTGGAAGCCACTATCCGCAGCAGCAATGTTGCTACGTAGGTGCTTTATCGGGGATACTTCGGAAAAACGAAGGGTTTGATCTAGCCCACCCATATAGGTTGGCTGAATGTCTTACTTTCACCCGCACACTTAGCTTGAAACCAAAGTTCGCCACTGGCAACAACTTGTATGAGCCACAAGTAACTCTAGAATCTTTCTTGTACCTACTCTGGATAGCGAATACTGCATACTGTTTGAAATGGAAAATGGAAATATGCCCGTATATCTTTGGTAGCATGTCTAAAATTACACTGAAATTCATATATTACGCTGGGACTCTTGAAGACAAATTCCTTGCTATAGGTTCCCCATATTGGAACTAATGGTGAGGCCGCTTTGGTAATCATCCTAGAGGCACTGTTTGGTTGCTTCTCTATCGAGTGTACGATGAAAAAGGTAGAACATCCCGTTCTTTCAGATCTACGGAGCTCCTGCTAGCAAGCATGCGGACATCTTCCGTCCTATCTGGTGTCTGAACTTCTGACTTGGCAATTCATAATTGTCCAGACATGTTGTTTTTGAGCATGCATACTTACTGCGGACATTTCGATATAGCAGAATGGGGTTTACCTTACTTTGTTTCACGACTGATCGTTGTAGACTATCTGTCATGTCATTCAGCTAAAAATATACGAAAGATAAAATTTGCGTTTCTTACTCACCCTCAACATGACCATCAGTCAACGCACCCCTCGCGACGCAGACAGTTTGTAACTGCGAATAAATTATGGCTTCTTGTGGATACACCGAACTGTATGGACCCGAATAACTGATGTGCAAAGGGCGTCAATACATTCAAGGGTGACGCAAGCTGTGTCTTTCCTTCCCATGCATCATCCAATGATCACAAACCGAATTTATGGATCCTTCGTTGTCAGGGTCGGCTATAAGGCCGTAGGAAATGTCGGAGTCTGAGTGAAGGCCGGAGACCGCAGCAGCGCCGAAGAAAGTGGGAAAGTGGGTCGGCAAAACTACGCTCCGATTGGGGCTCTCCTTCCCTTCATCGGAAAATCCCACACCAAGGTCAGCTTCTTCCTTAATTGACTCTGCTTCGCGATGCCGACTCCGAATCTCAATCGGTTGTCTTCAAAGCCCGGGAAACTACCGGCATGTAACACATGTCGGGCTATGAAACTCAGATGCGACCACGGGAGACCCAGCTGTGCAAGGTGCCGAGACAAAGGTCTGGCTACCGAATGTGCATATCGGCTCAGACCATTCAAACGACCTTTGGCTCGGAAGTCAGGCGCACAGATGTAAGTAGCAAGGTTCAGGTGTACACGTTGCTTAGTATCGTGGGACATCATATTAATAGTCCACTAGGTCCCGGGAAGATGACACAGCTTCTGTTCCATCAAATGCCGGGATTTCTGGAAATTCAGAAGCGCCCTCAATTCAATATCCTAACCCCGGCTATCTGGGCTCATCTAGCCATACGACCCTGTTTGATCAGTTGCCACTCCAAAGCACTGCACAGGTCGGCGGCGTGAGCCAACAAACCGAGCTTAGTCCAGTCCCCCAGAACGAATGCGTGGTCGACGACAATTCTGTCGCTAAGGGCACAGAGCTCATTCTCAAGCTCCACTGCGAACTTGCGATCCAGTCATTCAGCTGTCTCTACCAGAACTGGATTTCAACTGGGGCAAACCTCGCCTTGGCCGGCCCACTCACAGAAGCTTGTGCAACCACGGTTGACTACGTGCTGTTACAGTGTGATGGAACACATGCCACCGCTCGGACCATATCTAAACAGCTCTTTTATCGCTCATGCCAACGGATTCCTTCAAATGAAGAAACTAGCTATGGCGAATACTGTTCCAGTTTTTCCGGAGAAAATGCTCGCTGGGAAACATTTGGCATATTCTTCACTGCCATCTGCCGAGCCTCCGTAGACCTCCCTTATGCAGAGCCATTATATGACTCGGAGCAACAACGGCGTCGGCTCCAACAGCTTGCGCTTACGTACTCGGATCAATGTTTAGAGCTTTGTCTACCGCTAGATTGTATGAATGATCTCCAGCTTTTTCTGCAGTACGAAAACTTCATTTCTCATTCACAGGTGGATGGTGATCAGAGTGAGAGATCTCTGTACTAACTCTCCTTGAGTTTAAATTGTTGACGAACTTTCTAGGCTACCTCTCTTGGCGGAAATTGGGAGATGTCGCAGCCTCAATTTATGCTCTCGGTTACCACCAACAACAAACGCATTCATTTCGCACTGCGCCACGATTCCTGCGTGATCTCCGTCAAATAGCTTTCTGTAGGACGTATTCTGCCGATAAAAATGTCTCAATATTTCTTGGCCGACCACCCCGGATTCTGCGGAAATTTTGTCACTTCTACCTTCCAGGTACAGCTATGCAGCCAGCCCAAAGGGCATCTCGCATGCCAGCGGTCTGGGATCCAACCGAGAGGCCGAACTTCGTGACAGACTCTACATGGGCAGCTATTTGTGGCATTTTGAAGGAGGATATACTAGATCTATTTGCGGAAGAAAGAAATGAGGAAAAATTGCAACAAGGGCAGTAAGTTCTACGTAACCATGGCTTCTTTGAACTTAATGCCAATTCAGTCTCAGCCTCATATATGCCGATGCCCTTGCTCAATGGGGAGCTGTCCCCGAGAGCTATCGCCTTGAATGCAGCCTCAAGGCGTGCGACCGGCGACCAGTAGAACGTGACTTCATGGTCAACATGAAGCTAAATTATCTTCACGTACATTTTCTACTACGGCGAGCGTTGCTCCGTTCGGTGGCCATGGACCCGGCCCCGGATTTATTCAGCATTTCCAGAGAAATGCTTGATCTTGTGATCGAGACGGTGATGCTCAAGGGCCAGATCATCAATTCCGGCACTTCGTTAGTCTGGAAGGTATGTCGGCCATGTTTTGCTCCTAATAGAATTGTGCGTTGATTTTCGAGTTCAGGTCGTGTATTACGGACTGTCAGCGGCCGGCTCCATAGCACTTACCCTTGCAAACCGACCTTCAGTCAGTGAAATAACCCAAGCCGACATGTCCAGTATATTCCAAAACCTCAGTATTCTTGTGGGAGAGGTTGAAAATGGAACTCTGGTGTATGTCAACTCGCCCAATTTTGCCTTGCTTTCTCGGGCAACCCAAACAATCAAAACCCTTCTCGGCCGGATGATATTGCCGTTTCAATCCTCGCGAGATGTGGCGACCACATCCGAAGGTCGATCTGGGGCGCTCGCAAGCTCTGAAAATTTCACAGCTCTAAACGATGGGGAGTGGGCCATATGGGATGATAGGGGGTTCCAGGATTTTGAGATGAATTTCTGGCACCATCTTGCCGACCATCCGTTTCTTAATAGGTAGAGTATTAATACATGTTGATAGAGTAGTCTCTATCGCACCTCCGATGTTTCTAGGCCTGCTGTCTGTAAATAAATAAAAACATCCTACTATATACGTTCCATTTGGTTGATATAACTGCAATTTCTATTTCCGTGATTTCGCCGGTCATTTAGCCACGAAAATAAGTGTGGGGGCTGCAGACCCTACAAAAAGGCAGCACTAAGCAGCAGCAAAGTATTCAAATGCCCATCTTCAGCATTTGAGTAACTGCTTGGAAACCTCGGTGGCAGCCTGCTGGCCACTACGGACAGCACCTTCCATGAAACCCTTCCATTCAATAGCGGTTTCTGTCCCGGAAAAGTGAACATTCCTGTAGGACTCGCGGAGTACATCTCCCACTGCAGAAAGGACACCGGGTGGCAAAGAAGGACAAGGACAGCCAAAGCCAGAGTACCGTTCCGCGGCCCAGTCATGCCAGACAGTCATTAGATACTCATTGAGCACGATTTCCTTATCGCTATACAACCTTCCTACTTGGTCGAGAAGAGTATTTGTCCGGGCTTTTTCATCCTGAAGCGACCAAGCACGGCCCGTATCACCGCACAAAAAGCAGGTCAAGACCCAACAGTCGTCCTCTGGGACGCTGCAGTCCCGAATAATCGTGGCTGGGCCATTGAAAGACTGGGATAACCCGCAAAATCCCTTTTCAATCCAAAAAGGGGTTTTAAAAACTAGCATAGCTTTCGTGAAATACCCGTAGGCATAAGAATCGACCAATAATTGCTTACAAGCTGGTAGTTGAGGCGTAAATGAAATCTCCCGAAGAGCAGGCGAAGGTACTGTGGAAATAACTTTAGACGCTCGGAGGGTTCGGTGAGGGGTTTGAACGATCACAAGGTTTTCATTTGATTGATCGATTGAGGTGACAGGTGAGGCGAGCAATACATTGTCTGACGGTAGGGACGCAGATAGAGCTTGAGCTACGGCCTGCGCTCCTTGCCGAATACGAAGGTTCTGACCTCCGCCCGTGCGATCCGACCGCATCTGTAGAAGACCGCCACCAGATTTGCAGTGGTGTAGGAAAAAAAGAGCCGATATGTCCTGGGGCTCTTGACCTAGCATGGCACGGGTCCAGATCGAGGCAGATGCAATGGTAGTCTCGCTTGCGTTGCGGCTGCGAAGGTAGGCAAGAAAAGTCATAGCATCGTGGACAGGGCTTTGGGGGTTTGCGGCATCAAGACGCTGGCAGTCTGCTTCGACGAGATCTCGAATCTCGCCAATGAGCTTCTGTGTGTCAGGATCGAACTAGGTATTAGTTAGTCGGATAAGGTCTGGGGCAGGCTGTGAGATTGAGGACAAGGTTCTTACAGGCAGTCTCCCATAGTCAAAGGAGTGATTGCTATTCGCCTTATCCTGTGCCACGCAACTACCCGTCGTATTCTGCACGATGAGATCGAGCCCAAAGCGACCGGCGAGCTTGGATATCTGGCTCTGATTGGTATCGTTCAACCAAGACGCACCAATATCCACGATGCCTTTTCTGTTCGATAGGGGAACGCTCCAAGTGCGACCTCCCACGCGGTCGCGGGCCTCAAGGATAAGGCATGAGAGTCCGGTATGTAGGAGTTTCTCGGCAGCCGTAAGGCCGGCAAGGCCAGCACCTAGGATGATGACATCCCATGTCTTGTCCTCGGCAGGAGGCGGCGATTGGGGGATGGGAACAAAGACGGCAGCCTCGGCATCAATAACAAAACGCCATGCCGCGTCTTCCAGCTGGGCCGCCGAAACTATATTTATGACGGGATTGCTGGCACGTAGAAAACGATGTAGATGGCGGCTATGTTGACTGAGCCGAGCATCGTGGTTACTAATGGACAAGGTCAAACGTCTGATTCCCGCGACGGAGCCACCCGCTGCTAACAGATTCCGGTGTAAATTGAAGAGCGAAAGCAGAACCTGAGATTCATAATCCACAGGTACTTCACCCGACACTGGCGAGCACGGTAGACCGCGAAGCTGTAGTAGATGGTTTCCTATCGTCGACCTAGTGTCGTAGCAAGCCATTCCAAGTAGAAATGTCGGGGGGAATGAAAAGCTTCCAAGGCGATTCTGACTCGTCGCTCCCTCTTTCATAAACTCTTCTTAAAAAGACAGGTGTCAGTTCGGCCCCAGCGTTGGAGAGCATTCTGGAAGATAAAATAAGAGTTCATGCCGAAATGGTTCGGCGATTTTCAAAAAGTATAATACAATGGTGTGAATGGAGGGTCGAATTGCTCATCTACGTGATGTCTGAATGGTAGTGACTATTTTAGCAATGTGGGTCCTACGATTTGGCCGAAGCAGACCGCCGGAGTAGTTGTTCGGAGTAGTTGTTCGGAGTAGTTGTTCGGAGTAGTTGTTCGGAGTAGTGGCTCGGAGTAAACATTTGGTTCGAAAATTTCAGTATATTCTATCAAGCCACCGCTCTTTGGCAAGAGTAAGACCAATTCCAATTCTCAATATCCGGAACACGTCATAACTCACTATCATTAATCCGTCATAAACTATACTTGATAAAAACGACTTGCCTGTGATTTGAGGAGTGGCCATGAGATGTCAGTGTTCTCGTCAGCAATAGATTGGGCTCTGGAAGTTTAGACTGTCCCGTATAGTGTGGCAAAGTGCTCATTCTGCAAATAAATTGCACCATATCACATCAAATTGCCTCTAGCCAAAGTATGCATCTGGTTATATGGGCTGGCCTGTCCCTACGCATTCAAGAGCTAGTTGTAAAATGACTTTCACTTTCGGAGCTGCCTGCTTGCACTCAACATTCTGTATTCAAAGTCCTGGGCTTTTGTTTTCTTTTATGCTATTCGTGATGCCGGAATACGATGCAGAGAAACAGCCGGCCACGGCTGAGTCATTTCCTGATCTTACAGACCCTCAAGTTGACGCTGTCGACTCGAGCCAACTCTCGCGCAGGCTATCACCTCGCCAGGTGCAGATGATTGCTATCGGCGGTACGATCGGTACGGGATTATACCTCGGCACCGGCAGGGCTTTGGCGACTGGAGGTCCTGCCTCCATGCTCCTTGCCTATGCCATTTGCGGTGCTATTGTCCTCGTTACTATGCTTAGCCTCGGGGAGATGGTGGCTTTCATTCCCGTGACTGGCTCGTTCTGTACCTTTGCAGGGTAAGTGACGCCGCCTCAGAACTATATCCCAGCCACGTCTAATAGGAGAAGTCGTTTTGTGGATGAAAGTTTAGGATTTGCTCTGACATGGAATTACTGGGCCAACGATGCAATATCGACTGCTTCAGACCTCGTCGCATTGCAGGTACTGCTACAATATTGGACAGATAATTTCCCAGGTTGGGCATTAAGCCTTATCTGCCTTGCATTTGTGCTTGGACTCAATCTATGCTCAGTGAGGATTTTTGGAGAGGTAACTAATACAAATATCCCACTTTGAATCATTGCTGATGATAGTTCTAGGCTGAATATTGGCTCTGTCTACTAAAGATTGTGACAATAATCGTAAGTCGGCGAGATCTACACGTCCCTACAATGCAGCTCTGACCCCATCTTAGGGTTTCATCCTCGTCGGCATCGTAGTGAATTGTGGCGTCAACACTCAGCATAGGTATCTGGGCGACAGATATTTCTACCTTGACGATGCCCCCTTCGTAGGCGGCATCGGTGGTTTTGCATCTGTCTTCGTCACAGCTTCTTTCGCATAGTGAGTAGTTACCTTCCCACGGCGCAAAATCAGCGATTGCTAATGTTCGCCCAGTGGAGGGACAGAGAACGTTGCTGTGACTGCGGGTGAAACTCGAAACCCAGCACAAACCTACCCTCGAGTGATTCGCAACGTCTTTTGGCGAGTTCTCCTTTTTTACATCGTCTCAATAACTATAATCGGGCTCGATGTACCATACAACTACACTGGTCTTGCGAGTGAAGGCACTTCAACTAGCCCCTTCACTATTGTTTTCGCCGAAGCCGGTAGTGCCGTCGCAGGCAGCTTCATCAATGCCGTGATAATGACAAGTGCTATTTCAGCTGCCAATCATGCACTCTTCGCTGGATCGCGCCTCCTCTACACCTTGGCAAAAGAGGGGTATGCCCCTCGCCGGTTTGGCCTCACCAACCGCTTCCAAATTCCCTGGGTAGCTGTGCTCACTACTACAACCATCAGCGCACTATGCTTTGGGGCCAGTAAAATCGGATCTGGACAGCTCTGGACGTGGTTGCAAAACCTAGTTGGGGTATCCAATCAGATTTCGTGGACGTGCATCTGTATTTCTTCACTTCGATTCCGTGCGGCTATACGACGCCAAAATCTCGAGCATCTGCTGCCTTTTAAGAATTTCCTGTACCCCGTGGGCCCGGCATTAGCAGCCGGGCTAAACATATTTCTCATCCTTGTGCAAGGCTGGTCTTGCTTTAGCCCAGAGTTCGACATTATTCGGTTCGTCTCATACTATATAGAAATCCCGATCATGGCAGCCATGTTTCTAGGGTGGAAGTTTTGGAAGGGGACTAAGCTTGTTCCTCTCAATGAGATGGATCTGGTCACAGATAGGTATCTGATTGAAGGTGAAGGAATAGCTGCCAACTCCCAAGATGTTAATAAGCCCCCAAAGAGCGCTTGGCCTACTATACTAGGGGTAGGCAGATTGAAGAGGGTTGGAACCTGGATTCTATGAGATACTTAAGTCTGGCTGTTGATCAAATGTCCTCGGCATAGTGTGAATTAAAAACTCAATTCGATTGACATTTATCCTTGGCTCCGACTAAATCGTGAGGTTTTCCCCCCTATCCCAGAGTACCGGGTGCAGTGGGCCTGACTGCAAAACGGTGAGAGTCTTTAAGGAAAGCAGTGAACAACAACTCAAGACGCAAATCGAATTTTTGTTATATCTCAGGAACCACGCCAGTTGGCAACTTCTAGTATATTGCATGTTTCAAGTAACTCCACGCGTAGGCCTGCTCACGATAAGATATCGCAGGATTTTGGCCTATCGTTATCGTATATCGTCATCGCAGAATCCTTGCGATATTTATCGTATATCGTATCTTTTTTTCTAACACCTTGCGATACGATATACGATACGATATTGCGATATCGCACGATAAAACGATATCGTCAAATAGCATACATTGGGCTACGCGTCGGCCACAGTCGCGTGTCAGCCACGTTCACCACCACAATAGCTGTTCAATATCACTATAACGCGCTGAATTGCTCAAAAGTACAGTTAAAATATAAAGAAGGCTTTGTTTCCTATCTAGGTCTAGTTCTAATGATCTCCGCGGCTATATATTAGCTACGGTCGTATAATAGCCACGAAGAATATAGTCTACTATATATATACTGGCTCGCATCACCAAATATATATATTGATCATGGAGGTGTGTGGTACTACAAATAGAGGTTTCTTATTGGCCAGGGCCTGTGAGGATGCTCAGATGCTCACAGAGATCAACGTACGGCGTAGCATACAAAGCAAAGGAAACAGTAGCTGTTCGACGAAAGTAATAGCTTGAGGAGAAGAAGGAGGAAGCTGAGATAGAACTAAGTACATGTAGGCGTGGATGCCTAAGTGGATGCCATCTACGTCAGGCATCCGCGAATGGTAACAACCCCAGTTCGTTACAGGGCCTATAACTAAGGTCCTGTGACTAGGCTTGGCATTATCGTACGATAAAATCGTATCGCAGCACTACATCGTTATCGTATCGTTTTCTAGAGGTCAAATGTCGGGAAAAGGCTCACCCTCCAAGCGAGGAATTCTCTACTTTGAAGATATACTTCTTATAGAGTAAGGCAAGGGCTACAGTATGATATAATTTGTTTTCTAATTTAGCGTTTATTGGCGTAGATATTAACGACCAAAGATAGTCAAGTTTATGTTAAGGCGGCTCTTTGATAGACCTACTTCTTGCTAAATATAGTATTTAATGACACCGCCTTGCCCAGTCTGGTATTTAACGCCAAACTTCCCTATTTCACAGATCTATGACAAAAACTTCTTAAATTTTATTAGGACCTTCTTCTATCTTCCGAAAATACTGTATTAGTTTTTGAGGGGTTCTAGAAGCTCTCGTATTTAGAAGTTAGAATATTAATTATTGTGCCTTTTTCTGCCGCTAGGGGTTTAGAGATTTCCTTTCTAAGACTAGCCTAGAACTTATAATAGCGACTTACCCTTGATAAGTTTTACCGAGGCTTAGGGACAGTAAACAAAGTTAAAACAGTAGGCCAACATTATATATCTTCTGTGCTAATCTATAAAGTATTTTATCACCGAAACCGTATCCTTCAATAATAAAACTTTAAAGAAGGATTACAATATAATACTAAAGATATACTCTATATTCTTATCTTAAGCCGGAACTAGGTATTTAATATAGGGATACTAAGTGACCAGACTTCGCTATCTCGACCTCTATATAATACTATAGTTTAGGCTTTTACTGCCTTTGTAAGTATAGTTGTAGCTTCCTATCCTTAAGATTATAATATATGTCTAAATAATATATACAGTCAACTCCCGCTTATAGCACGCCCATGATTAGCACACATTCGGTTATAGCACCAAAATTTTGTGGATAGACCCACTTTTCTACTATCTGCCATATAAATAGACTACTTATGGCTAGACATCGCCAGAACCTATATCAACCATAACCCAACCCAACCCAACCCAGCCCAAAATAGGTTTTGGGTCTAATTCTATAACCTATTAATAGGTTTTAGGTTGAGACCCTTAACCTAAAACCTATATAGGAACCCACTAGGTCCCTATTTTAGTGTAAATAGCGCAAATATACTAAGCTTATATAACTTCTAGAATTATAAAATTCCTGCTTGTAATTTAAGGTATAAGTTTACTATCCTAAGGTATTAAATGCTTTATATTTATTAGATATTATATTATAAACTTATTATCCTAATAAATAAATTACAACTTAAGAGCTAGCAGATTATAATAATTTAATTATAAGATAGTAAATTCGATTACTAGTAAACCTTAAAGATATTATTAGTCTGAGCCTTTTACTTTTGTCCTAAGTAATAAGATTATAATAGTAGTAGAGACTATATTAGCTATAGCTCCTTATAATTATAACTATCTAAGCTAGGTATTTCCTCTCTCTCCTTAGGATCTACTATATCTTCCTCCTTATAATCACTAATACTATCTATCTCAACCTTAACCTTCTCTGGATACTCTATATTAAGTTCTCAGACTGCCTTAATCTTCTGTAGGGAAAAGTACTACTCTAGCTTCTTTATCTCTGCTTCTTTAAAATTAAATTATATTAAACAAAGAAACAATATATATTCCTTAATTATTTTAGAGTTTATACAGCTACGTCGGTAATGACAGATATTATATATAGTATTAAAAAGCTATTCAATACCTACACTGGTTGCTAAAATAGAGAGTATATCTTAAGTAAGCTATACGATTATAGGAAAATAAGATTAATTCTTACGCTAGTATTATAGTAGCTTAATCTTAATTAGATCTAGATAGTAGATATTAGTATATAGTATTATAAATAAATATTAAGAAGAGATTATATACTACTGTCTAGATACTAACTTACTTCGTCGTCTGTAGGCTTTATAGCTCTTTAATTACTACTCAATATCTTACTTAGCTATAAAGTAGATATAGGCTAAGTCTAAGGATCAGAAGTAGATTAGTTATCTAAGAGATAGGTCTAGTATAGAGATAATACTATCTAGAATAATCTTCAGTACCTTACCTACTACTTATAATCCTAGTCTTCTGAGAGAAAGAAGCAAAATTAGCTATTAGGTACTAGCATTATGCTAACAGTAAAGATATACCCTTATATATAGTCTGTCTGTATATAATAAATACAAAGTTTATTATAATCAGTATCCAAAGCTATTAATATTTACTACTTCTATAGAATATACTTATGTTTAAGCTGCTTTTTTGCCTATTCTAAATAATTAAAGAGTACATTATAGAGCTTAAAGATAAGATAAGTTATAATATCCTTTATTTTTAATAGCTTAGTAGTATAGTTAAAGAATAGCTAAGTTATATAAAGTAGATAGTTAATTTATTACTACTTATTATTAGTTAAGAGTATCTCTGTATAATTATATTCCTTATAGAAAGGCTTAAATAATAGATAAATTAACTTAGCCTAGCAAAGCATTAAGAAGGTAGAGTTCTAACAGATCTTAATATCTTAAATAGGTACTAGTCAAGGTTCTTTTAGTTAGAGTTAAAGAAAGGTTTTATAATATTAAGGACTAGTATTAACATATATAGCTAGATATTAAATCTTATTAAGTATTACTATAATACTATAGTTCTAGGTATTCTTTTTTACTATAGTAGAATACTGCTCAGTCTATCTAGTCTTAGTATCCTTATTCTAAGGAGATACCTTCAGTTTCCTAAGAAGCTTATTTAAACTTAGCTAGATAATATATATAAGATAGAGAATCTAGATAACAGTTATATTAGGTGGCAGACTCTGCTAAAGGGCCTTAATCATTATTTTATTGTTTATTACATTATTAGTAGTAATTCTATAAATCTAATCTTTAATCTAATATTACTCTAGAATCTAAAGAATAATTTAGCTTAGATTAGAACCGCTGTATACGCTATATACTAGCTTAAATCTAAGCAACATCTCTTAGTATATCTAATTTATATCTACAAAGTAAGCAGTTATTACTATAAATACCTAATTATAGGGTAACATCTAGCAGTTAAGTATAAGTAAAAACTTAGTATTAGAAGAAAGGGTTTAGAGGGCTGATTACTAATATATTTTAACAATAGAGTATAAGCAGTAATGTATTATTTTAGCAGAGAGTATTAAGGACTTAGAGAATACTAAACAGATAATACAGATAATCTTACTAAGCCTAGGAGCTTCGAAAAGTTATATTAGTAGTCGGTTAATAGTAGTAAACTAAAGTAGTTCTTCCTCCTAGTACTCTTATAAAAAGAGGATTTTGACTAGAATAGTACTCTAAAATCTATAATTAATTAGTATTATATATATAAGAGAAATAAGGTTATACCTTTATTTTTAAAAACTAAGAAATCCCTAAGCCTTCTTTACCCTGCCCTACCTAGATATAGTTTATAGTACCTAAATACTTCTTTATTATAGAAGTCCCTTAGTAACCTTTCTTTATCAGAAGACTATTTATTAGATACTCTAGAATTATACTATATTACTTATACATAACCTTAGGTATTCTGTTCTTAATTAATGCAACCTAATTATATTCTTACCAGATATCGCTACTTCGGTTTAAATCCTATACTACTTTACTTTCCTGCCTAAAATCAGTCTTAATCTACTATTTTACCTAGTCGTTATATACTATATTATTATATAGTAGATATTCTTTTCTATAATTAGGGCCAATATATAGAAGTAAGTTAGGGATTAGTAGAGGGTTAACTAGGCAGAGAAAGTCTGGCTTACTATAAGGCTTAAGGGTATCGATAAGATATTAATTCTGACTACTAGAAGATATAGTAGTATTCTATAATAGGGTTAAGTAACTAAGAGTCTCTGTATTCCTATTATATAATAATAGAATAAAATTAGAATATTAACTTTAACTCTGTAATATAATTACTATTAATTAATTAAGGATTTATAGTAAGGTAAGAGAGAAAGAAAACAG